GATAAGGGAGTACGAGTAAGGAGGTAGGCGGAAGCGGCGAAGANAAGGGACGCTACAACATGATCGCCACTTGTATGATTCTACTGACCCGGTGACCGGAACGAGTATGTCCGAAGAGATGCTCGTGTCCATGGTGCGCATAGTTTCCTTGTTGTGCCTTGCGCTGATCGATGACCTGTTTACGCAGTGTGTCACATACATCATCGCGTGAGTCCTACACGGCCCGTTTTGCATTCAACGCACCGACGGGCTATCTCGAATAGCGGCACAGACACCACCGGGACCACCCTGTCGTGGTCCGTACTCCCCTGCTTGCGCGCCAAGGTAGCCCGTTGACGTTCCTCCAGGCTGATGTGGGCGCTTGCGAGCCACCCGCACGTCTACGACACGCTCCGCGCCGAGCTCATCGCAGCTTTCCCCGATCCCGGCGCGTTCCCCGACCTGGCGTCGCTCCGGAAACTGCTCTACCTGACCGCCGTCATCAAGGAAGCGCTGCGGCGCTACCCGGCGACGCCGATCTACCTGCCCCGCGTCGTCCCCGAAGGCGGCGCGGTGCACCAAGGGCACTATCTGCCCGCCGGGACGGTAAGCACGTTCAGCCTCGATATAACGGGTTATTCGCCTTTCCATTCAGGGGTGCTGATCGACGGCAATGGATCGTTGGCAGACGATAGGCTGCCTGTCTTACGCGATGCACCGCGATGAGGAGTTCTTCCCGAACCCGGAGGTGTACGACCCCTCGCGCTGGCTCGAACACGTAGACGGCGTCCTCAAGGTGAAGAACACGCCGGAACTGACGGCGTCGTAAATGCCGTGGTCGACGGGCGTGCGCTCGTGCCAGGGACAGCCGTAAGTCCCCCCCCCCCCCTCAGGTTCTTGGCGCCGTTCCGTCTGTCTTCAACCGACCGCTATTTCTTTCCAGGTTTGCCGAGCTTGAAATCTACACCGTGATCGCGAACCTCGTCCGGCGGTACAAGTTTAAGCCGGGGCCGCACGCGACCCACCAGACGATGAAGTACGTTTCTGTTCCTACGTGGTTGCTGGTCCTCATGACCAATGCGACCTACGCTGATACAGGGACGTTGACCTTCTCATCTTGAAACCGAAAGGGCACAAGGTGGAACTTGTCTTCGAGAAGAACCCGTACTAAGATGTAAAGCCTGTCGTTCTGCCAAGAATCCCGGGCAACGCGGGACATTCAACTTGATTTTCAAGCTTTGGTGAATAGTACTCAATGTAGCACCCAGCGTGTAGCCTCTGTGCCCTTAACCCAGACTTCCTGGTAGCATCTTGGCTATGCAATGTGCCCGTGTGCGTGTAAGGATGAGTGCGCTGGCAAACAGTGACGGCGAGCGCTCGGGCGGCGCTGGCGCGATCACGATCGATCGATTCCCAATTTGGACCAACCGTGCGACTGGCGGGGTCAATGTACACTGCTAGGATGCAGGCTGTATACATAACCAACGAAATGGGTGATACGAGTGGGTGAGAGCCCGTGAACTGCGTGTGGTTTAAATCGGACATGTACTGGGCGAAAATCATCCATCTGACTTCACCCACACCCTGGGATGTGTCCCCCAGGATGTGGGCGAATTCAATCCACCCTGATGGTCGGTAGACCCCATGTTATGGGTAAATCCGTGGTTGAATATCACCCACACCGAGTAGCACAGTGCAAGCGGTTGAGGGGTCCGATGATGACGCAAGGGTCATCTTGACTCTTTATGCATCCCTTGGCTGACACTCTCAACTGGTCCACTGCGCCAATGCACCAAACCCGTCTGATGACGCTCCTGCATATCTAGCTTATCGATACCGATAGTATTGCGCGCTGGACTTAGTAGAGCCAGCAATGAGCAACGACAGACGCGCTAAACGCCGCGGGGTTGGCGCTTACCACCAGTGGGCGTGCGGCTGACCAGCAACAAGTGGACGTGGACGTTTTCTTCGCCGCCGCAGCCCTACCCTGCATTCGTGCTTAAGCACTAGAATGATGCCGCGGCCGTATGGCAAGGTCAATCCGACCGACGCTGGTTATAGTCCGATACCATACTTCTCTCGGCGAGGAACTCGAGGGACGAGTTTTCGCCATCGAGATGTCCTCTCTTTCAGCGACCGATGTTGCTCTGTTCTCTGTCTTCTTGGGAATGCTGTACGCCTGGAGGCGGCAACGTCGTCCTCCCTTTCCGCCTGGACCGCCTGGTCTGCCGCTGCTAGGCAATCTTTTACAGGTCCCGACGAAACAAGAATGGCTTACTTATTTGCGGTGGACGAGGAAGTACAGTGCGTAGCGTTTTCAAGGAGTGAAGGAATTCTATCATGCTCACCGGAATATCTAGACTCGCCCATCATCCACTTCACGGCTCTGGGACAGCATTTCATCGTCTTGAACGATGCAAGGACCGCAGGAGACCTATTCGGTACGTCTCTTGTATACACTACAATCTCATCGCCGATTCGATATGGATATGTCAGATAAGCGATCGTCCAAGTATAACGATAGGCCCCAACCTATCATGCTGGCCGAACTGTGGGTTCTATTCAACCCTAAAGGGATCACTCTCATGTACAAATGCAGCGTCGACTTGCCGAAGTTTAACTTTGGTAAGGGCGAACTGATATATGATGCGCGGGCTATAGGTGATGGGACTCATGGCATTCATAGGTTTTATGCCCTACGGAAATCGGTGGCGTGCAAGCCGGAAGGCGAACAACGCTCTGTACTTATGTCGGGACAATAAACTGAAAAGAGCCTTTTTAGATCTTTCACTCGCAGTTCCAAGAATCGGCCGTCAGGAAGTTCCGCCCGAGAGAGATAGAAGGTGCTCACGAGCTACTTCGCAATATTCTGGAACATCCGGCCGAACTCTTCCAACATTTGCGCTAGTAAGCATGGAACAGCGTCGCGTGGTCTCCATCGTGCTCAGTGTTGTTTTTCCCTTCGATTCAGCTACCCGGGCAGCCTCGTCTTGTCGGTGGCGTATGGTATCAAGACCGTTCCTAAGGGCGATCGGTACCTCTATTGGGCCGAGAAAGCAAACGAAGGCATTATGGAGGCAGCAAACCCGCATCTCGTCGAATTTGTGCCTTTTCGTAAGCCTTGTCTGCTGTCATCCACCTCAGCCGACTCTTAGCTGTTTTCACAGTGAAATATTTCCCCGACTTTTTGGCTAGCTTTAAGCGGAAGGCAAAAGTGTGGAAGGAGTGGACAACCACAGCCTGGAATACTCCTTTTGTTCATGTGCAGAAGACTTTGGTACGCATTCCCGATTGTATTTACACCTGTCGCGTCTGAATGTAAGCGCTGTGACAGGCCGATCCTTCACCCGACACCAATATAGCAACCTCTCTGGTCGGGATGGCCCTTTCTGCCGCTGACGAGAAAGAGGACCAGGTGTTCCACGAGGAAAGCGTGAAAGCCGCTGTATGTAATCTTCACTGGTCCTGCATTGCCCTACATCTAAACCCGAGATCACAGGCCGGCGCAATGTTCGAAGGTGACCCTTGTTTTCGATCCGATGCGTCCGAATTCAAGTCTCATGAATCATCCTATGCTCTTGCAACCAGCCGGGTCGGATACTGTGAGCGGCGTTACCTATGGCCACTCGATAAGGGTGTTCTCAAGAAATATTATGGACAGACCGTCAGTGCAATGAAGTGGCTTATACTCTGGATGCTGCGACGCCCGGACATCCTTGCTGCGGCACAGAAGCAGATCGACGACGTTGTAGGGCCCGATCGGTTGCCCGAGTTCGCGGACGAAGCCTCGTTGCCGCTCGTATCGGCGATCATCAAGGAAACGGTGAGTCGTCCTAGACGTTCTGATTCCCTGATTCATGACTGACCTAACCGATGCGCACTGTTACCACTGCAGCTGCGTTGGAGTGCTTTCGTTCCCCTCGGTATGCCTACTACGTCGTCCGATTAGTGATGCTGATCTTGTGTCGCCAGCTCTCCCGCATCGGCTCACGGAAGACGATGTTTATGAAGGCTACTTCATCCCGAAAGGTACGATCGTGCTCGGCAACATTTGGTAAGCCGGGTTCGCAAGCTGGACCGTTTGCACATTCCAACGAACGGCGAAAAACAGGGCCATGTTGCGTGACGAGCAGACTTGGGGTCCTGACGCGCACGAGTTCAATCCGAACCGCTTCCTCGACGCGTCCGGCGCTCTCGACGCGACGGTCCCGGACATTACACAATCATTCGGTTTCGGCCGACGTATCTGTCCCGGACGTTACATGGCCTGGGATAGCATGTGGATCGCGGTGGCAGGGATGCTCGCAACGTTCGACATTGCGAATGCGGTAGACGAGACTGGGCAGCAGAAGACGCCGACCTTGGAGCACACGGACGGCATCGTTATGTGAGTATTAACCATTCATCCGATGTACGCATCTTACTGTGTTTCCTTCTGCGTGTATGATAGCTATCCGAAGGATTTCGCATGTTCCATGCGGCCCAGATCGAGCAAAGCCGAGGCCTTGATCCGTGGGACCCAAGAATTCCTGTAACATATTTCGAATTGACCATGTCGTGCATTCATAATACGATATTCGAGTGATCACGCATACGCTTCTCTGCCTTTGTTCCACCCCATGTGCCCTTTGGCTATACATCCGACGACGTCAGTGGCCTCAGATGTAAATGTTCTAAGGCGGATGGGCTGTGAAGTTTCGTCTGGGATTCATTAAATCGGTACCGGGGTTTGGGTTTGTCCCATAGTAAATGTGTTACAGCATGATCTGATTGAACAATTCATCCACGATTCGACCCCATGGACTGAAGCTTGGATCCACTCTCATCCATGTCTTGTCTCCATAATGCGCCCCGTAGTACTCAATTCTAGGCCCACATATGGTTAGTTTCAATGTTGCGTCATGACGATCCACCTACTTAACCTATATGTATCTGACAATAGTGAGTCAATAGTAAGCAAGATCACCAGGTTGTTTTCAATGAAACCTTGGTCGCACATCAGCCTGATTGTTGTTCTTTCAATGGGGGCGACTCGTTTCAGCAAAATGCCGATTATATTCGATTAAATACTTCAATCACATAGAAACGAAGGTGACGGTGACTATTAAATGATGTTATAATGCGATGGAAACGATAGAATAGCGATGACAATGCACTGGGAAATCAAAGATGTCCCCTCTCACTGGAACTTCCATCCACCGGTGAGGTTCGTCAACCCGGTGGGGTCGACCTCGAGCTGAATCTGCCTTAGACGAGGGATCTGATCGCCGAAGAGGCGTTCCGAGGGCGTATCGAACGAGGCGTAGTTCGGGTACAAGAACGTGCTGTTGAGATTCTGGCCCTCGGAATTGCCGAAGGCCACGACCGACTCGTCGATCCCCTTCAAGACACCTTGGATGTGCGCATCCTCGGAGACATCGTCCCAGCTGGCAATGACGAGCGAAGGGAAGGCGACGTTGTCGGGGTCATGGACGTACGCCGTGGGCTGACCAGCGTGGTGGGAGAAGATGGTCGGGAGCATGAGCTCGATACCGAACTCGAGCGCACTGCCGGTGTGGTTGAAGACGTCAGGCCCGTTGGTCTGCAAAATGATGAGCAACATCGCAACGGAGAGGGATCCGGAGGTAACGTACCCCGAGCTGGTCCATGATATGTGCCAACAGGGGCGCCGTGTAGTTCCTGATCGAGATGGAACGCCAGTTGGCGCTAGCGGAGACGTTCAACACATATATCAGTCAGTACCGTCGATATATTACTCACCGCGAAGACCTCGGAGGACCTTGAAGAGCGCTGATGAGCGAAGCGTAGGATTGAGTAGCAAGACCGTTGGAGGCGGTTGGAAGGGCGAATAATGCGTCAAAGAGACCTTCGGGAGGAGTCGGTGCGTCATAAAAGAGGAAGTACGACGCGAAGACGCCTGGTTGGCCGGAAAGAAATTAGGACTAAACGGCCAACGCATGAAGCATCAGTGGCACATACCGCCCTGTGACGGATCGAATCCGTAGGTCGCCGATATAGCAGCCTTCGGGTCTGTGTTGTTGTCTTGAAAGGCAGCGAGCACGTCGTGTATCGCCGGGATCGCGGAAGAGTTCAATACGACGAGACCGCCCTAAAGGGACGCTCAGACACAAGCAGCACGGGAAAAGACGACGTAGACCTACGAAGACGGCAGTCTGCGGCTTGGTGGTCATCTTGAGCTGAGTGACTATACCGAAGTTGTTTCCTCCACCCTATGTGACCATAAGCAAGAGCTCGTAGGGACATGTCGCAACGGGAGTACCTTGAGACCAAAGAACAGGTCGGGACTCGTCTCGTTGTTCACCGTGAGGATTTTTCCGGTCGGAGTGACGAGCTCGTACTCCAAGGTCGTGTCGCAAGAGAGTCCGACTTGATTAGTGGTCCATGAATAACCACCGCCAAGGTTGAATCCGACGCCGACATCAGAGATACGACTGCCCGCGACGGAGACGTTGAAGGGCTCGAGCGCCGCGTACACCTTGTCCCATATCTGGCCGGTTCCGACCGTTGCAATCCCTGTAGAGGGATCGAACTGGGTCGTGTTGAACCGCGAAAGAGTGATTTGAACGCCGGGGGTAGAGCTCCAGCCCTCGTTCGTGGCATGCCCTCCAGATTTGACCGCCCATGGGACGCGGTCCTGGCCCAGGATCTTGAGCTGAACAGATCTAGATGAGAACAGGATCCGGGACGAAATGCGATCATGAACATACAATGTTGGCGACATCTTGCGGAGTGCCAGGCTCTACACTGCAGGTCGAGTTCTGCGAGCTGCTCGAGAACACGTGGAAGATGTCGGTCTCGTAAGTGGCCGCAGCTGAAAGTGAGAAGGCTGAGTCAGTGGACAGTGGGCATGCGCGAGAGATACGAGTACATACGGGGGAAGAAGACGGCAGAGGCGTCGGAGATATTGCCGGCTATCTTGTTGCAGGTGTGGAGGAAGCTGGCGGCGGCGACAGTGCGCGCAAGAAGGGCAGCGAAGCCCAAGCTCAAAGCGTGCATGACGGCGAGCAAAGGATGGGCCGATGAATGGATGGAAGGAAAGAGGCTCTCTCAGAAGAGCGTGTGCTGGGCTTCCTGAGCGCCTCATGGTTTAAATGGAGGCGAGTGGTCCTGCGGGGAACCGCCCCGCTCTGTGTAAACTGCGTCGGTCGGCGTCCATCGTGGGTGTGGCAAGAACCTGCTCAGCGCATCGCCCTCGTAGTGAATTACCCTTTAAGGTTGGACCCGGTGCCGTGGCGCTAGATTTGGATCCGGTCGGCACGGCACCGTCGCGGACGTAAAATCGGGCCGACGCGGAGTGATGTACATTTCAAATACCGACCGCCGCACACCCATCTCGCCTACGACTCGTTCACTCGTTGCAAGCCGCAGTCCCATCCACTCGCGATCTGTTGGTCAGAACGCGCTATGCTCATACGGGCTCCTCTTCGATGCAGTGACCTGCTATGCTTATATGGTCCCTCTTAAGGATCAGGGTCTCGACAGTCGGCCTGTCTGAGTCTCGTTCAACAGGCCAGCCATCAACATGGACAGATCGGTCTACCTAGCCTTGTCCTGTTTGACATTCTACTTGCTCTGGCGCCTGACTCGCCGAACATCGGACCGCAAGCTGCCTCCAGGCCCCAAAGGGCTCCCGCTGATCGGAAATTTGTTCCAGCTCTCGAACGACGTCTGGCTCCGTTTCTCAGAGTGGAAACAAACCTATGGTAAGCCGTTGCCAAAGCTATGCGTGATGTAACCCGCCTGAGCTCCGTGTCTCAGGTCCGATTATACATCTCAACATCGCCGGCCAGAGCGTAATCGTGGTCAACTCGCATGAAGTCGCGACGGACCTCTTTGACCGACGGCACCAAATCTATTCCGACCGCCCCCGAAACATCGTCGCTTCCGAGATCATGAGCGGGGGCATCATGATTGTTTTCACTCCGTACGGCGACCTGTGAGCGCCTCCGTGATTCGCAGAGTTGTTTCAGACCTCAACATTGTACATGTGTCACGTAGGTGGCGGAGGATGCGGCGCGCGGCGCATGAAGGGCTCGGCAAACGTGCAGTGGCCACCATGAACACCATCCAGACCAGGGAGGCTCTCCGACTCGCAAACGACATGCTAAGCGATCCGGCGCATTGGGACGAACACTGCGTGAGGTAGATGACGCCATGGCACTGCGCTTGTTCTCGTTTTCTGACAAGTGTTCAGAGCAACCGCCTCCGTGGTCTTGTCCAGCGTCTACGGCCAACCTTCCTTGGATAGTCATGATGATCCCATGGTCCACAAGATTACCAACTTCGTGGGCAGGCGCGTCCGTGCCGCATACCCTGGCGCTCATTTGGTTGAGATCTTCCCGTGGATGATGGCCTTCCCGTCTTGGTTGGCGAAATGGAAGCGAGACGCCGAGTCGTGGTTTAAAATCGACTCAAAGATGTTTCGCGACCTTTACATGAACGCTTCAACGGTCAAAGTGAGGTCTTTTTCCGGGCTGCATTGAGCACTGCTGACTAGTACGTTTTACAGGTTGACGGCCAGGAAGAACACACTTTCTCGACCCTTTTGGCTGAGAATCAAGAACGTTTGACCTTGAACAACGACGAGGCGTCATGGCTTTCGGGGGTGTTCTGGTCAGCCTCTTGTCGCTAAGCTTGCTTCCCCTGCTGACCGGCGCATATCAGTGCGGCCGGAACGGAAACGACCGCCGCTGTCTTGGCTTTCTTCATTCAGGCAATGGTGTGCTATCCCGCGGTGCAAGCTCGTGCTCAAGTGGAGATCGATCAAGTCTGCACGCCCAGCAACCCCCCTACCTTCGAGGATGCCGAGCGACTGCCGTACATCCGTGCGATCGTGAAAGAGATACTGAGATGGAAAGCCGTTGATCCTGTCGGTCAGTTGAAATGCGCTTCGTCACTTCGGGCCCGCTGAACGATATCCATCTCCAGGGCTGCCGCGCCGGGCGACAGAGGTAAGTCAGGATCGGCATCAAATCGGGAACCGGGCAAACATTGATGCCGTGCTTGCTGCAGGATGACGTATATGATGGTTACTTTATTCCCAAAGGAAGTATCATCATCGCGAACGTCTGGTAAGTCGACACAAATTGATCGCCGCTACTTGTTTGCGAATGACCGACGATTCATTACCATCTGACAGGGGTATGAACCGCGACCCAGACGTGTACGGCCCAGATGCTGCAGAATTCAGACCCGAAAGGCATCTGACGGAGGACGGCAAAGTCGTGAGGATACCCCACACCAAGGAAGAAGGTCATGTCACGTACGGCTTTGGCAGGAGGTGAGTATTCTCATCGCTGGCACTTCATCGACTTAGATGTATAAATTCTTTTGCAGAATTTGTGCCGGTGTCGGGGTTGCGAACGACTCGCTGTTCATCGACATTGCCACTATCCTATGGGCCTGCAGGATTGGGCCCGGTAAAGGCGCCGACGGGAAACCGGTATATGTCGACCCGGCCGGTATCTTGAACACAGGTCTCGAACTGTGGGTGTGCCCGTGCCTTAAACTAGGTCGCCACTGACGCTCTCCGTTTTAGGCGACCGCCGCCTTTCCCGTGCTCCATCACACCCCGATTCCCATCGGCCGCGGCCGTTCTGGCCGAAAAGATGGATCGGTTCTGACGTCGCGCGGAGGATGCATCAACAGCTTCCAAAATGATGTCGTCGCACGGCATACTTGCACCGCTGCAATTCATTCGATTAGTTCCGTAGACTCAGCGCCATGTACTCTAAGCAGGACGTTTACTGCTCTTTGCTGCCGAAGAGTTGTGCATTTGAGGGCGCGTTTCATCGAGAGGTTAGGAAGGACCTTGTCAATTCATCACCTTTATGGACCGCTTGCACTATGCTCCGAATGTTGGTCATCGCTCTGTACGGCGCTGACGACAAGTACACTCCAAACATAGTCCTGAATCAGAGACGTTCTGTTCCAATAATTATTGGGAATCTCAAAACTTTTTCTACTGGCCCGGATCTCAATACCGGACCTCAATGATTATTGGAAAACAGAACGTCTCTATTGTGTGCGGTGTTTGTTATGTACGGGATGCAACCCGGGAAAGCGCCAGTGTCTAGATGTCTTTACAGCGGCCTTTACGGGTTTGAAGTACATACTCATCATTTGTACTATTTTACATGTGAACAAGCGGCGATAGCGCGTCGCGCCTAAGCGACTGATGACATTGACAACATGGAGTAGCGACTGAACCCGAATCACCCGTTATTGTGAGCCAGCTCCGTGACCGGGAGTCCAACGCACTTCCGCATTACTGAAAGCTTCCAGCTTCAGATCTTGGGCGAAGTGCGCCACGCGGGCCTTCTCAGCGTATTCCTTGAAAGAGTCTCCCTTCCTCAACGCCGCATCCACCGCGTCCTCGCCTAGCAGTACGTGGAGCGGCAGCTCCGGTTCGTACACGAGAGCATGTATCGCACGCGCGGCCTTGTTGGGGTCGCCGGGTAAGGTCGCAATGGGGAGTTGTTGACGCATGATGGCCGTGAGGCTGCCGGAGTAGGCATATGCCGGGTGCTGCGGTGTGTCGACGAGTGAACCGCTCTTAGTACCGCGGGTCTCGAACGCGCCGGGCTCGACGATTATGAGCCTAATGTTCCAGGCCGGGTTGAGCTCCATCGACAGAGACTCCATCAGGCCGTCGGCAGCTGTTAGCGAGGGGCGGCAGGAACCACGGATTAGCTTACGCACGGTTCTTGAGCATAATAAAGTCCACGTACCGTACTTGCTGGCGGCATAAAACCCAAGGCCGGGCTTGGGTTCAAAGGCAAGCATAGAAGACATGTGTAGAAGTTGGCCGCCCTGAGGCTGGTTAACATCGCGGAAAAAGCGGATAGCTTCGGAGGCGACGGCAGCCATTCCCCAAAAATTAACCTCGAAGAGAGCGCGTGCAGCGTCCGAAGGTGTACCCTCGACTTCAGCCAGGATGCCATATCCCGCTGCAAATATCGCTCAGTATCGGCGGACGGATACGTGTGTAGGGAACAATACCATTGTTGACTACAACATCAATACGGCCGAATGTTTCTGTGGCTTTAGCAAACGCAACCTTGATCTGTTCAAGCTTTGAGACGTCCAGCTGGAGGACTAGGAGCTGCGACGCCTTGTATTTGTCAGAAAGATCGTCGAGCACTTCGGGATTGCGTAGGGTGGCGACGACGGTATCTCCCTTCTCGAGAACATATTCCGTTATAGCACGTCCAAATCCGACAGAGCAGCCAGTGACTGCGGGCAAACCTCCTCAATCGAATGACCAGGCAATAAACAGCGTGCACGCACTGAACCAAATTTTCGGAGCCATAGTATCGTACGAGGGTCCGGACGGGATGTAGTGCACCGCTCGCCCTGGCTAGACCCTATTTGTAGTCCGCATGTTAACTGAGCGGGGTGTGCATCGGCCGCGCATTGACTGAACGTTGACCGATCGTGAGGGTGTGGATGTAAAAGCGCTGGAGCAATGGTCGGCGTTTCTCACGCCTCTCGGACCATTCAAGTTCAACGAGGACGGAGTTGAACGTTATCTTCACCCCGCCAGTGCATGGAACCATTACGGTTACCACTCGCTTGTCGCTTGGACAACTCAGAGAAAGCATGGCCGCAACACCATGCAGTACCTCGAGCGAATTGGTACATTTAGCGTCGGCGGTCATCCTACCTAGTCACCCCCGAGCCGTTCACTATGCGCGTGCTACGCTACGGCTCTGTGATACTCGTTGCGCGCGCTGCATCAGCCGCTAATGTTCTCGACTCACTCGGAGACTTGTTCCGTTAGTAAAATCGTATTCTACTGCGCATTGGTTGCCTAACGCCTGTCGTTCAGCGTCCTCCACGTTTCAGGCTGTCTTGAACACCTGGAACTTCTTTGCTGGGAACGTTTCTGACCGTCAGTACCTCGCAGATCTCAGCTTTTGAGCAGGAAAACTGACTGGACTTAATAGATGCTCCACCGAATCTGAGCGCTTGCCGTCTCATTGCTGGAAGGATTTCTGATGCATCCGCCGTTTTCTACCCTGGTCAGTCAACTCGTTCTTGAACCTCGCGTTCACCATTTGCAACTCCGATCTACTAGACGCTGTCGCATATGAAACGGACATGGTGCATGCATTCGGCAGCAGCGCACAGAACGCGACATGCAGTGTACAACCCGCCAATGCTCAAGACGTCGCTGAAGTCGTTCGTATATTGTCTTCCTCTTGCCCTCAATACGCTCACGATCGTATCTATCAGGTGAACGTTCTTTCGGAGATGCGCGTTCCTTGGGCGATCAAATCTGGCGGACACGCTTCAAATCCAGGCTGGAGCTCAACCCCGGGTGTACAAATCACTCTGTCGCGCATCAACGCGACGACCTTCGATGCGGCTACACGGGTCGCCACCGTCGGTGCCGGGGCACGCTGGGAGACGGTCTATGCGGCGTTGGACCCTTATAACGCGTCCGTTGCGGGCGGTCGCGTGTCCGGTGTGGGCGTGGGCGGGTTCGTGCTCGGCGGTGGTTACTCGTGGTTCACCAACCAGGTTGGTCTCACAATTGACACCGTTGTCGAGTTCGAGCTAGTCACGCTGGCGGGCGACATATTGACGGTCAATAATGAAACGTATCCGGACCTGTTCTTTGGGTTGAAGGTGAGATCTGGTGCTCCCTCTCTGGGTCTGTACCCTCAATGATGCCGACTCAGGGCGGAGGAAACAACTTTGGTGTCGTGACACAAATCAAGATGAAGACTCACCAACAGGGTCCAGTATATGTGCGCTGCACCATCTGGTTATGTTTCAATGCCTCTGGTTCTGATCGCCATTGCAGGGAGGAATGGTGATCGTCGATGCCAAGGCCATGGCGCAAGCACACAAAGAAGTTTCGAAGTTCCAAGACTCGACCACCGATCCGCGTGCTGCAATGGCGGTGATCTATGGATTCAATCATGCACTTGGCGGTAAGGCTTGCCTTCACTACGTTCATCCCATGCCTGAGGGCCTTCGTCTTGTATCCTAGGACTTTTTGGGTCGTTCTTCCTCTTCTACGATGGCCCAACCCCACCGGAAGGACTGTTCGACGGGCTGCTTTCCCTTCCGGCTGTATCCAAAGATATCCACGTCCGATCAATGAGCACGCTGATAGGAGGACTGTCAGGCCCCGCATACTCCCCTCGGTAAGTAGGCTGATCAGAAGGCTACTCTCGCCGTTCTGATTCATCGTCGCTAGCGGGGCGTACCGTGCTCTTGCCGTCAAGAACTACACAGTACCTATGCTGGAGCACATAGCCGGCGAACTCACGGTTTGTCGCATCTTGTATACTCTGCGATAATGCGTAGCTCATCGTGGTCCTGATGACAGGTCCACGCTTCAGAACTCTTCGCGCACACGGGAACACAGTTCATGATCGCCATCGAGCCGATGCTTGACTCGATCTTCTCCCACCATGCCGGACAACCCACGGCCCTCATTCACGACGACGGCGACTTCTTCGCGCCAACGGTGTTGCTCGCCACGTGGGATAATGCCGCGGAAGACAAGCGCATGCTCGATATCCTCAAGGCAATTGACGATTCGATCGTTGAATTCGGCGTCAAGGCCGGGCAGAAGATCGGGCCAGGGGATGCGATCCTGTACCCGAACTACGCGTCGATTGACACGCACGTCGAAAACTTCTTCGGCCGAAACCTTCCGGAACTGAGGAGGATTCAAGAGAAGTACGATCCTCATGGATTGACCAAGTTGACCGGAGGATGGAAGTTCGCTTGAGATGATGTAAAATCAAAGCATATGCAACGGGAATCTCAAAGGCGTGTGCCGATTATGAATGGCCATTCAGAGTGATCGATACATATGGACTCGGTCTTCACATATAAGATATATGCGTGAACAAGACAAGACAATCGGGAAATTAACACTTTCACCTTGTATCCCGGCGAAGAAGCCCCCACAGAACGGTAATAAATTAACGCAATTTTGAGTATGAGCCAATAACTAATCAACTTCCAACTCGGCTTGGCTGAATGGTGCTCCTGGGTTTCCATAGATCAGCGGTGCTTTCAGGTTAGCGATTCCGTGCTATGGTTTATGTCGTAATCTTTCATTACTGCGAAGCATTATGAATAATGAATCGATATTCCAGGACTACACATATGAGTGAACCGCGGTGAAAGGAACGTTTGGAGGCGTGCACCGCTCATAATTCATCACATCCAGAAGTTCAACTAGACGGTGCCGCTTGAACGTCCTCAAAGCCCGACAGGCCCTGCCATATGTTGGACGTTAAAGCTGATGACATTGACCCCGTCAGCAACGTTCGGTATACATGCGACGATACTTGCCGAGTTGGGTCGTATTTGGCGTACGTCTGCTGAAGCGCCGCGAAATCTCCGTAAGTGGAGTACACGTCCTGCAACTCGTCGCACTCATCAAGAAAGAGCGGCTTGCCCGGCGCGTTCGGGATTCTAAGGTTGTTTGTAGCTCAGCGCTAGGGTCAGACAGGGTTACGTGAACCACAGCTTACTGCTCAAGCATCAAATTAAAGGCATCCTGGAAGCCTGCAGGCTTCTGCGTCACACCGGACTTGAACGTCTGAGCGAACTGCACAGAGGCGAAGCCGCCGTCGGGTGGGCTGATCGCATTGCCACCCATCGCGCGTCCGGCGTCAATCTGCGGCTGTAATACGGGCGTGATCGTGTACAACGATTGGTTGAGGTTGTCCGCAACCGCCGTCGTGAAGTTCAGGAAGTGGCGGTGAGCGTCGAGCAGGGCGCTCCGCGAGCCTGGGAGCGCGGCCGCGCCGTCGTGTTGGCCGAGCTGAGTTCCAGGGGGAGCGGCGCCCGAGGGCAGCGTCTGCACAATGTCGAGGTAGCTGAGCGAGCCAAGGGTCTTCGAGACCGAAGGAATGGATTGGAATGAACCGAATATGGAGTCCGGGAGAGAAGTGCCATTGTAGAAGACATTGACTAGGATCGTAGGGGTGTTGACTCCATTTGATATGGAGTTGATGATGGAGGTAAGAAGTGCTGAACATTATGTCAATATCCGCTCTTAGTAGATGTACATTATATTATGAGCCTCACTAGCTTTCGGGTCGGAAACGCTCGCCACATAGTCGGCCGTTGCATTAAGCACAGCTTCAAGTGAGGAGTTTGCATACTAAGGCGGTAACGATGAAGCTCAACATCATTACGCAGCCATGACGTTGTATTGTGCTCACCGTAATTGAGCCTCCAAAGAAGTTCTTGTCTGTACCGGTACCGGTCTGAATGGCATTCAGCTCGTACCGTGTGACGATTCCAAATCGACTTCCTCCGCCCTTCAGAGCTCTGAAGAGGTCGGACTGCGAATTCGTGGCTGTCGCCGTCAACAAAGTGCCATTAACCAGGACAACGTCCAACGCTTTGATCTGATCGGCCGCGTAGCCCCATGTTGGTGAGAGGAAACTGAGACCGCCACCCAGAAGCAGAGAGGTGCCCACATCCCTGTACGCGAAGTCAGACACAAGTACATCAAAGAAGGAGGGTGCGCACGCTTGTCTCCCACCAATGGGAGCAACGCCGAACTGCGCAGTGGTTGTGTAGACATTGCCCCAACGCGCCCCGGGACCAATGATGATGCTATTATCCGGGGCGTCGTACGAGATAGAGGCCATTTCGGAGAAGGAAATGAGCACCCCTTGGTCGACACTAGGACATCATTATTATCGATCTCAGCGAGGAAGCTCGGAGCTATCGTAACAGTATACTATACGCACTTATTCCACCCAATCATGTGAGAATGTCCACCAGACTGTATGGAATATGTCGACCCAGCTGAGAATATTGCACTCATAGCTGTTTGCACCTGCGAGGCATTCCTTGGGAATACGATGCATCCCGGCGTTTGCTCGTCGTTGAACAAATTCCAAGCCCCTGTGGCCGTCGCATCGTACTGCGCGCCGGAAGATTGGACGATGGCACCACCAAGGCTACCAAGTAGCGAAGTGCATGCTACAGATCCTGGGTTGGATGATGCAAGAGAGGCGGCGACCTTGAAGGCCAGTGGAACGATGAACAGGCAGCGTAGACTGAGGGACATGGCTTGAGTTGATCTTCAGTACGGTAATCAATTTCTTGCTTTGCTCAAATAGTGAGCGCGAAGGCACTGCCAATATGCAGTACGTACGTATTTTATTTCGCTGCCCTGGTTCTCCAAGTTCTTCCGCTGCGGTTCACCAGGAACCGAGGTAGGCGGAGATCCATGAGCAGTGCTTGTGACCGCTTCCGTTCATCCGAGTGTTGTGCCGGCCTGTAGAAGACCTAAGGCGCTGTACGGTACACGTGTGATTTGAGAGAATCGCCCGTCTTTGCGATTTGACCTTCCGTGAAAGGCAATAGATGGCTCTAGAAATTTCCGGTTAAGGCAACGTCGTGAGACATAGTTACCGATAATGGTAACCCAGAGTCGCAAAGACGGGTGATTCTTCTGAGTCACCCCTGTACCGTACAGCGCCTAAGTAGTAAAGACCGACCGCGCCGTGTGAGAACCGGTCATTTGCGCGATGCCGGTCTTCACAGGCTGCGGCCGTAAGACCGGCAGTGTCCCTGCACCCTGACTAGTTGCTGAATGGTGGCCTGTCATCTCATCTTCGTGAAGACCGGTTGACCATCGACGCCGTCTTCGGTTTCATGCACGATGCGGCTGCCGCAGGGCCATACCACTATAACCAGTCTTTAATGGATACTGCAATACCGAGTTGACGGTATTTGCCATCACTCGTTACAGCACGAGAATGTTAGGCGAAAGGATTGCTCTCGTTACTGGCGCCGCGCAAGGTATAGGACGTGCCGTTGCATTGCGACTCGCCGACGATGGCTTTGACGTGGCTGTCAACGATATGATACCGAAGGCTACGGAGCTCGAAGAGCTTCAGGCGGAAATTGAAGGTAAAGGCCGTCGGGCTTGTGTGGTGCTCGCGGACATATCCGACGAGAGGGGGGTTCAGAGGATGGTAGACGATGCTGTAGCTACGCTCGGCGGGCTGGATGTGGTGAGCTGCTTCATATTGTGTATGCGACGTAAGCCCGGATCTGACCAAAGCGGGGGGGTTGCGTAGATGGTTGCGAACGCCGGGATCACACTGCTGAAAGGATTCATGGATAGTGAGTTCAGGCCAGTCCTGGGCCGGGTCTGAAGCAAGTCTGAAGCAAGTTCTGTGTCGGTGCATTGTTCCCCCAAGCTACCGTTGCTGAATGGGATCGTCTTTTCGACGTTAACGCGCGGGGAGCCATGCTCTGCTATCAGATTGCAGCCAAGGTTATGATCAAGCAGGGCAGGGGCGGTCGAATCGTCGGTAGGCAGGGATAACGCAGGTCGGGCATGTGGCGTGTGACTTGATTACTATTATAGGTGCCTGTTCTTCGGCTGGAAAGAAAGGTGTCCTCTTCCAAACTGGTGGACTTGGACCTTTTGCTTACATCCATCTCCAGCAATTCCTTCATTCAGCGCTTATTCTGCCACCAAGTATGCCGTGCGGGCAATTACGCAGACAGCTGGTGTGCCTTGCTCGCCACGTGTACACCGGAGAAGCGCTGAACTCTCTGTAGCCGCAGAGCTCGGTAAATATGGCATTACAGTCAATGCATACGCCCCTGGTCCAATTTCGGGACACATGAGTACGTCACTTGCGACTGCTGTGGGACAAGCTCTCTGAAACGTGACGTTGCTCAGTGGACAGCATGATTCTTGAGACCGCGTCGGCCGTTGGAGCGGATCCAGATACGATCAAGAAACAAGTGCGTCAACAGTTTATACCTCCATAAACTGTCATCCATTGAACTGAGGAGGGTCTGTCGTTGTTTGATTTGCTTTTGTAAAGCTTAACGGTGCCGCCGCTGTAGGACATACCGGCGAGCCACGAGACGTGGCGAATCTGGTTTCCTTCCTTGCGTCTCAAGAATCTCGGTTCATCACAGGTCAGGGAAAAACAAGGCTTGATCATGCCGTCTCATCTGAGTCTGACGAACGTGTCTTCTTTTCATGTGGTTCCTAGGCCAAACTGTGAGTATAATCTAGCAGATGAATGATCTTCTTCTCCGTGTGCTCATAGCTTCATCCGGCAGATCGTGTGCGATGGCGGGGTCATATATGATTAAGATCGAAGGAGATCGACGCGCCTCGAAGCTGGAGTTCATGCAGAATGCATTCGGGATTCAGACTTACTCACTGCCCGCGGGGAATTCGTGTCAATAGGTGTACATCGGTGTATATGCGCGATATGAATATACTTCACCCAAAGGTTTAGTATGACCGACGAATTGTAGAAAAGTATCCGGTACCTGCCATATGCACATGGTACATCCGGCTCGGAAATCCGTTGTTGACGGTAGTAGCAGCCTTCAATGACGCCGGTATCAGACAGCAGGCACGTTGTTGCGCGACATAACCATGCAAGATTAAGATCATGAGAGATACTGTCTGGGTATTTGGGTTCATATTATCCAGGGCCAGCAAGCTTCGGTCAACTCTTTGTTGAATTACATAATCATGAATGCAAGAAGTGTACTCTAACAGATAGTACTACTGCATCGCCTGCATGAAATGTCGATTATATGCGTCAAGAGCGATCGATAGTTTCCGCAAGAACAGCTGCGGCGGACTCGAACCGAGGTTTGACTGAGACCTGGAAAGGTTTCGGTCGTCTGACAAGAATTCGTTAGTGCCGAGGGCGCCGACAGAATGGGATAATCCAACGGACTCACACAACAAGGCCCGTATTGATAAATCCGTCCGCGTCTATCGGGACCGGTTTACCGTTGGCGTCCTTGATAGGCTCAATCTTGCAGGCCCATAAAATCGTTGCAATCTCGATGAAGAGCGAATCATTCGCTACATGTCGACCGACACAAATCCTGGTGAGAAGCATTGGTATGAGTCCGAGGATCATATTAGGGTGTCTAAGACACACCTCCTCCCGAAGCCGTACGTGACATGGCTTTCTTCTTTGGTGTCGGGGATGCTCACAAAACCGCCCTCTCTGTTAAGATGTCTACCAGGGTTGAAGTCTGCAGCGTCTGCGCCGTACACCTCAGGGTCTCGATTCAAGGACCTGATAAGAGGGATGGATTAGGCCACCAGACGCAGCAGTTTGCTCTCTCACCAGACATTGCCAACGACTATGCTTCCCTTAGGGATATAGTAACCTTCATACCAATCATCCTACAAGATCAAGACGGCGCGTTCAGTCTCTACCGGCGCGACAGTCACATATACTCACTTGCATCAATCTGTGGGGGAGGCCTGACACCACATATCAATACACGGCATAAATTGATATGTGCCAACTTGCCAATGGGATCGATTGGTTTCCATCGCAAGGACTCCTTGACAATGGCGCGGATGTATGGTAATTGCTCGTAGTCATCAAACGTGGGAGCAGCGCCAGGAGCGAGAACTCGATCGAGCTCTTCCTGGGCACGAGCTTGGACTTCCGGATAAAGGACCATAGCTTGCATGAAATAGAGCATGACGGCAGCGGTCGTCTCCGCTCCTGCAGCACTAGAGTGAACCAGTCAGCACACGGATCCAACGTAACGAAACATCTTCAATGGCATACTATAAAGTTCCGGACAACCAGGACGACTCTTCATTACTCAGGTTATGTCGTGCCCGATCCTCCGCGACAGATGTAGAGAAGGTATCGTGTTCTTCACCATCAACCTTTGGACAGACAAATCGTTAAAAATGGGCACATGATGATAAGACATAATGCGACAATATCAACTCACTTTCACTTTGGAGGCGCTATTAAACAGATCGATAAACATGGCGGAGTCCACCTTGTACCATGCCTGAGCATCACGCTTCCACTTCGCCATCCAAGACGGTAGATACTTCATCCACGTGAAGATCTCAACGAGATGAGCCCCAGGGTAAGCTGCGCGGACTAGCCGTTCGGTGAACTCGTTGATTCGACGGATTGTCGGATCACCGCTGTTCCGAATCGGGGGCTTTCCGTAGAGTACCGACAGGACTAGCGAGGCCGTCGCTCTACAAACGGGGGAATGTGCTCAGGACAGGCGGTGTAGTACTAATAGATATATTATTCACCTTTGAGTGTGTTGATCCCACCGCGCCGGATCAGTGAGGAGATCGAATGCAAGGTGCAAGGCCTCCTTGCGTTGAAGAACACGAAACGTGGGTACTGTGCGTTTTCCCAGTCCTTCGTGAGCCGCTCGCCGCATTCTCTTCCACCTAGTGGACAATAGTCAATGGTTGCACACCAGGCAGTCAGAACGATAGACATACACATCATTGAATGGCGTGAACACAATCATAAGACCTCCACTCAAGATTTGCGAGGCGACGATGTTCCTCGGACGGTCGGAGTAGATCGACGCGCGCCGGTCAAGTAGATCCGCCGCCGTTTTGTGGTCATTGAGGACGACGACGCTCTGCCCTGCAACATTGAGGTAGACGATGGGCCCTACCAAATGCGCGTTCAACTTTCATGGCACAGGGCAGCGTCGATGAACATACCGTACGCCTCCTTCCACTCGGCAAACCGAAACCAAATATCATCTGACAGCTGGAACAAGTTTCCCACCAACGGAAGCCCCTTGGGTCCAGGTGGAAGCTTGCTAGTGAGCCTCCGGCGACTGAGTCTCCAAATTAGGTAGAATACCGCGCAAGAGACTGAAATATAGACGATTTTCGCCATGCCGGTGTCGTTCGCCAGAAGGATCGAGCCACTACATGCGCCGCGCAGCGATGCATAATCTTTATACGGTCCGGCCTGTCATCAACATTCAATATTCAACCATTGGCTTGATTGAGCAGATCAGCAGCGAATGGGTGCGCGGAGTTGCGGGCCCGTCAATGGGTGCGCGGAGTTGCGGGCCCGTCAATGGGTGCGCGGCGCCACGCATCCAATGCGGGTTGACACAGCCTTTTACGTCAGTATCGCGCTGACTGACAAGCTTGAGGCTGTAGCGCCGTCAAATGCTTTGCAACTATTCATGATGACGTTTGTCTGAGGCAAAGAACGAACGTAGTGGAACCGATAAGCTACGGTTCCCATGATTAGTATCCTATAACACGATTATCCGGCAGCTGGCCCTTCGACACTTGAGCTTGAGCGTTGGTGCCCATCTCCCAGTATACTAGGGCCCGGTTATGAAACCGCTGTCGGTGAGTGCATAGCTACATATTTGACTATCAGCCTGACCTGACTTGCTATCAGCCCGCTTCCTCGCAAGACATCGACTTAGTATCGCGACTTGAGCCCTCGGGAAAAGGCTCTTGCTATCACCTTAGGCACCGCTTTGAAGGGCTCCTGTTAGGTAGATCTCTCCCATCAGAATGATATGCCCGCTTGCTATCATATTATTCCAAACACCGCCCGTCTGGATGGTCTTGCGGCATATTGGGGTTAGGAATCGCCACGGCGTTTGTTTCGTGTTAACCATCGACTTATTCAAGTACACGGCACGCGCGACCCGTGTCGCCGAGAAAGGCGTAGAATCAATCTCGTTCGAACATCACTTGCGGTCGCAGATACGAATAGTACGGGCGCTACACGATCTGCCGGCATATCGCACGTGCATCCTAACAACTCGAGCTATTTAAGTGAAGATATGCTCGCGGGGAGCTTATCGAAGTCAACTCGCCAAGATGCCCACATCCCAGCCAATCATCTATCTCCCTGACAATCTTGCCTCTTGGCCATGGCCTCGCAGTCTCAACCCACATTACGAAGAGTGCAAGGCCGACTCAGCCGCGTGGCTTGAGAGCTTCAAGGCTTTCGATCCCAAGGCGCAGTCGGCATTCAACCTCTGTGACTTTAGTGCGTGCATTTCTTCGCGTTGTATGTGCTATTGCTTACGGTGATCATAGATCTTTTGGCCTCATTGGCTTATCACAAAGCGAGCAAAGGTATTGCCAACCCGCTGCGCATGAGTAACAATCACGGTTGACTGCCTGTCTCGCGGAATATAGCCAACAATCGCACCGGCTGCGATCTCATGAATATGTTTTTCATCGTCGACGAGTACACCGACATCTCAAATGCTCACGACGCTCGCCTCATCGTTGACGCCGTTATGGATTCCCTGCTTCATCCTGATCGCGTGCTGCCTGACGATGAATCCCCTGATCGGAACACCCTTGCCGGCCGTGTAGCTCTCGCTCGCATAGTGGCAAAAGAGTAGATTCTATCTCATACCGTCTTCTACCGGAGAAATCTGACTCTAAGATGTTTAGATTCTGGGAGCGCGGATTCCCCAAAGCTAGCGCGTCGTCTAAACGTCGCTTCCTTGCCACCTTTTCCACCTACCTCGAATCCGTGGTCGAACAAGCCGCTGACCGGGACCGAAGCCACATCCGCGACGTTGACAGCTACCTGGAGAACCGTCGCGAGAACATCGGAGCTTGGCCTTCTTTCGCCCTGCTGGAGCTCGACACCGACATTCCGGACGAGATAATGAATCGTCCAGAAATGTACTCGCTTCATATCGCCGCGATCGACATGCTCATACTTGGAAATGTTCGTCCCCCCCCCGCTCGATTATTCTCGTTACAATCTGACGGTGTTTTGGATGTACAGGATATGTGCTCTTACAACGTCGAGCAATCTAAAGGTGACGATCGACACAACATCGTCACCATCCTCATGCATCAGAAGAACATTGGCGTCCAGGATGCCATGTACGAGCTCGCGAAGATTCATGCTGCGGCTGAGGAACGTTTCCACACCGCGCGCGCGGCTGTCATGTCGTGGCCGGAGCTCGACACGCAGCTGACAGAGTACGTGGACGGCCTTGGGAACTGGGTCCGAGCGAACGACTCGTGGAGCTTCGAGAGCCAGCGTTATTTCGGTACTGCTGGCGTGGAGATAGAGCGTACTAGGCAAGTACGCCTCCTCCCTAAGCACTCGGCGCGGTTTATGGCACCGCCTCCTCGTCCGGTATTTCCTGCCAAGGTCGCCGTAGCCGTTGCTTAGAGAACTTGCTTCGGCAACATTGGATGGAAGTCGTCACATAGATATGTCTCATGAATACTACTCTGCGCAATCACACCGTTTAGCATTTGCCGCATAAGTATGTTTATGCATGCCCGTCCACAAGCGAACATGACGCCGGCTTCGCTCCTTCGCTGATTGGAGCAAGGCGGCGGCGGATTTGACAGCGGTATCTATAGGCACGCCGTGACAGCTGTGAATGGCAGTCCTGCCGGCCTCGAGAGCTCTAAATTACATTCTGAGACTACAGACGCGTGCTTGGTGATAATTTCCGGTCCCTGAAAATACTGCAAGGCCGGATACGTGCTATGACTAGTCGGTCGGACCGCGATGACCATACGTTGACCGTAGACCTGGAAAGCGCGCCTGAGGTATCGTATCGGCCGTATTCGGCTTTAGACCAGGCGCTCGTCTGGCGAGGTCGGCGCTTGCGGCTGGCCGATCACACAGCTCGTCAACGCATCCATTCTGCACAATGGCCGCTTACCCAGCGCTGGTTGTGCGGCTACGAGTGTACTAGGATGTCGACACTCAGGACGAGATTGGCCGTGGGCCAGCTGCCTACCTGCGACACCTGGTCGCCCGGGCAGGACCGGGGCACGGTTGCGCAACGAGCATCAGCAAGATGCTCAACGTCCAGTGTTCACTCCTCGAAACCGGCTCTACGGCGCGAATTACCTGTGAAGCTAGAGTCGCAATGCGAGTGGTCGAGATGTAATTATCTTGTCGGAGTCACGGTGGCTTCGTGATGAGCAGGGCCGGTATGTCTGGGCCCCGCCTTACCGTGGTCTTCCAACAGCGACACGGGCTACACATGCCCCAATGTGGGATCGGAGGTGATCCTGAATCTCACTTCAGCTTGTCGACGTCGCAATGTTTTGATCCAAGCCAACCCATATGCGTGAGGATTCAGTCTATCTAATACCGGAACTCGCGTATATACCTGATTGATCAGTACAGGCTTACGGGCTAGTGGTAGCGTAAAGACGTGACCATGAGCGGTGGAAGAGCGCAATCCTGATGACAGTGGAACAAGGCCAACGCTAGGCACCGCAGCCGAGAACAGTGCAAATGTGCCTTCCCGAAGATAGGATTGACAATTCGCCACTCACACGCTCGGAGCGGTTCGCTCGTGTGTTAGGTTCTGTGCTGAACGAGACTTTTTGCAAAAGCAGTATGTACCGCCGTTCAATCTGCAATTGGACTGACAACCAATCCAATCGTCGAGCAGCTCGTAACCACGAAGCGCATCGTTCACTCTCGCAAGTGGTATTCACGTAAAGATTGCGAGTGAGCTAGGTGCTAGGCCTTGAAGAAACCGTAGCTGGGCGGTCTAGATTCCATGCCGCGGCATCAGTCATTGCATCTGAGCCAGGGCGAAGCATCCAAGGCATCCAGGGCTCAGCTTCTCATTGACATCGGTGGACCTTGTGTTATCGATGCACTTTCAGGTGGAAATTGGACCTGTCCTTCACGATCCATCGCATGGTTTCCCCGCCATCTCCCAAGCCGGCTATGCATGCCGCGCAGAGGCCAAGACAGTTTTTGCCGTTCAACGTTCAAGCGCGGTGCTGACTCCGTCAATCACTGGGTTCATGTGGTGGAGATGACGTTTGTCTAAGCCCGCCGCTTTTAACAATAAAGTCCACCGCCGGGCCCGGTGACTACCACACGGCCGAGACACGCGGAGGACTGAATATACTGTAGTGCGTGCTTACAACGAGCGGTTGGTGTAAAGCAAAGACACCGACCTCGTCCGTCGGGTACGGCACCGACCTTCACTGTTCGTTCTTGCGGCAGTACTCACACCTGCAGGTTGTATGGCGTTTCGGGACCAGCGTGAGTACTCCGTCAAGATCGGCATTCCGACCAAGACGCCAGTCGCCGCGTTCCTAGTTCGGCTGATTGCTCCCTTGTCAGCTGCCAGAGAAGCGTGTGTATAGGGAGCCTCGCAGAGCAAGTACTTCCCTCATGGAGCCCTTTTCGTCCCTCACCCTGCTTGTGCTCGCCGGCAGGCTTCGGCAGCTGCATCGGAGCTAAGCTCAACGTCGCGACGCGCGCGCAGTGCAGAACTTCACCGCCCTTCTATGATGTGGAAGCCAACGCGCTTGACGAGCCTCAAGACGATGTGGGACGTGTTCTCCTTGACCTATATGCGACCCACGTAGCACGCCATGCATGTTTAGAGGGTTCATTGCGCCAGAATATCAACAATACGTCGATCGCTAAAACATAGAATGTTTGCTTTACGAATGCGAAAATATGTAGCTCTGCGACATTGAAAGTACGCCGTCCACCCGTTTCCGTCTATTTTGAAATACGTGAACCTTCAACCACTCTGGGATATGTCCTGATGCATGGGTTTAGGGCGGTGCAGGGCCAAGAGACTCGATGGGAGTATTAAGTAATACTGACCGGATGTGGACGAATTCAGAATCGTTCCTGCGATGTGAAATCAAGTGCGATGGGGCTCCGTTGCTGGGCGGAAGAGATCTCCCCCGACCGCCTGAAGGAACCCGAGTCTGTCTCCGGAGGAGGCGAAACTCGGTGATAGGGCCACGCGCTGCGCGACAATCCGCCCGAGAGAATGGCGGCGCCTAGAACGGGGGAAATTTTCTGAGTTTCCAGTCGTCCTACGTTGCCCTTCTTTCCTACTATCATGGCCAAGTGGATCTGCGTATGTATCTTGCGCGTATTAAGGAGTGGAGCGCGGAGAAATGTCCTTTCTCGTGGTCACCACTTCAGGTGAGTGACCTTTGGTATCTTACTCATTATGAATTTCACGTCCACTATGATATATTTGATATAAGGGCGTGTCACTGGGAAAGGATGCAAAACCCACAGTACACCGGGAAACCGATGCTGCCGCAGTGCTCAGGCTGAATCGTCCAGTGATGGATAAGACTTATAAGCACATCCTTCTACTTCGGACTTGACACAACCATGCACCTTTCCTTTCCCTTGAATCAGCTCCGAGACGCTCCTGTGAGGCTTTGCGTCAAGGAGCTCGGAGATGGGCTGTCCATTGAATACACGACTACGACCAAATCATTTCCTATGACCGACAGCCAATGCGATTGCGCTTGCGCAGTCAATGTCGAGTTCATACACGACGGAAATCGTGTTTTCTTCACCATGTCGGCGACTCAAATGGCTCGCTCTATCCCGCATCAGTCTCTCGTGAATGCTGGAGATGTGTCGTCAGATTCTAGTTGAGTCACTGACTCGTCGATGGTATCCTTCACTTACTCCGTCTTCTGATACGCTCTTGTAGACTACCAAGACTTGGAAACGTCAAGTAAAGCTACAAACTGCAGTCTGCCGGCGAGCAACGTCGCAGAGGATGGTCCACATCCAAACGGTGCGCTTGCATGGTCATCCACAAATGAAGTTCCCACTGATCTTCATTCCGCAGATTCAGCGGACAGAATGACGGGCTCGATGTATGATTCCGAGATGGCTCCCGTATTAGAATTGGCTACGAATGACGTGGGCCTCAAGTACGACGATCAAACGGGTAGTGCGCAAGGCCTCATTCAGGGTACTCGCCCCTCTACTACTCACTCCGTCCGCAGGGTGTACTGATAACAAGGACCTTTCCTAGGCAGCGATTCGGTGACCTACTCTCCCTTCATTACTAAATCTCTCCCTAATATCAACATGGACATGGCGCCGAGCGTCAATTCCTCGAGCGACGAGCCCGGAGATATATCCAGTTCGTCTTCGTTCAATATTACAATTTCTCCGCCTTCATCGCTAACCGCGTGCCAAAGATTTCGATGTTCCGCAAACTTGGTTTACGGATTTGATGCAATTAGCCGGAATGCCATCCATGCCAGAGAATTCTATATTCGCTTTTCCAGAAGTAGGAACTACATCGCCCCTCGATGATGCAGTTCTTTCAGACCACGACCAGTCTAGTAATACACCCGGGTGTTCGCCGACAACCCCTCTAGAAGACATGGACTCCATGACTCCGGAGGCCGACCCCGCTGTCGGCACTCGTCGACGCCCGCGACCGCGTCGTATCCTTTGTCTTCATGACGGCTGCAAGCGACGATTCACGTCGGAGTATACACGCACGGTCCATATGAAGACGCACGGTCCCAAATTACCCCGCAAGAAACTCATGTGCTCTAGCGGGTGCGATGAGACCTTTTCAAGGTTCTTGACTTCTGACTCCTATGATACTGCCATATGTCTAAATCTTCTTAGACAGCACGACCGGCTCCGACACGAGGTGATTCGACACGGTCGAGAATGTGAACATGTGTGCAAAACCTGCTTCAAATTCTTCTCCAACGCCACCACGCTCAACGCACATAAGTGCCGTGGGCCTGGAGAAGGAAGAACTTTGCGGTACAGATAAGGTGAGATTCGCAACCGATTCAATTCATGGCATAGTTACGAATGGCAGGACCCACAGAGCGCTTTGAACGCCCAGGAGTCGACTGAGCACTGTACGATAGATATTCTTAGAAACACCACGATACAAGACGCATACGCATGCGATTTAGATAGGCTTCCCCATGCCAAGGGGCGGTCGTCCCCGGCAGCGCCGGCGATGAATGTGATTATGTGTTTTATGTTTTGATTATACGCAGTTCTCCATACAGATCTGGTTTTTGATACAGGGTTCAGGTTTGGAGGGGCTTGATAGAGGGTGAAAGGATAAGTACGACGGCATGCCACCGCAGATACGTGCAGTAAATACTCCGTTACAGGAACGTGTATGAATCCCGGTTTCCGGTTTCAGCGCCTTCAACCGACAATTTGAACTCGTCTTCGTTCTATGAGTCACCACTGCGAATGCCACCGGTATCGGCAATTAGAGTGTATCTGCAGCTGGTAAAAGATCGCCGTCATGGTAAAGATCCACACCGTGATAGGAAAATTTGAGAGCTCCACGGGCACTGAGAAAGGCATCGCGGCGAGGCGAAAGTGGTCCGTGTGCGGGCTAATATTCAACGGAATTGCCCGGTATAGCTACATGCTCCATGATTTGTGGGGATGCACCTACTTGCAAAGGGAAAATGGAAAATGGAAAAGGTCTTGACCTCCCGTGTTGTGGAGCAGAGGGATCGGCGCACTGGCGATGCGGTGCACGGTAAGTTTCGGGCGTCCGCGGGGTAATGTTGGGATGACACTTCCGCTTTAGTATTATCCGCTTTAAGTAGAGTTATGTACGTGGCACAGATATGTACAAGGATATGCTAATCATCACGAATATTCTTGGCGATAACGCATATTCGTGTACATATCTACAGTGAGAAAATAACTGACCTCCGCGTGTGTGGCGATTTTGGGCGCGGCAGATACAGTACCCGACCAGTCCTTTGTACACCAAAAATGTAATTTGACCATTACTCCATGTCCTCCCATTCATACCTTGTAAAAGCTATCTCATATGATGCACATTGTGCTTCTGCACAAACTCAGCATACTGTTATGGCTTGCAATGTGTTGAGGAGCTGTGTGGATGCCGATTACTGGCTGTCACACGCTTAAGACAAAAACTATTCATTTGCACACCGGCTATGTCACGCCGGCCTCTGCCAAAACGGCTGTCACGGCTACCATATTTGGAAGCCAAGATGGCTGTGCGACTCAAATCTGTCACACTTTCCCCGTCGTTTCGGCTGTTTTGCACATGGTTTGCACCCTGGTGGACGTAGTTCCGCATTGATGTCCACATAAGAGTACGGAAAATATGCCTTGGGTACACTTGGTTGATACAAGGAGCTGCGGTTGTCAGTAGACTCCGCAATCGTAGCTCTACATACAACGTGCAAGGAGCAGAAATTTGGTCAGAATGGGACTTCACGCATTCTGGACAGTCTTACAATTAATCGAGTCGATAAATCGCATCCCATGCAGTATCAAATATTGTAGCCAGCATGTATATTAACTATATGGTACTGTAGTTCGAAGAGGAAGTAGCTAATTCTGAGCGAGGGGAGCCAGATCAAGGCAGGTGTACAAGTGACTGGTACTGTACAAGTGACTGATCGGGCACTGTACACTCTATTGCGACTTCGGCGGAGAAGCCATGTGAAGGGCAACACTATGGCCTCAGCGAAATCGTCATGAGGAGGGTGAGTAACGTTAGCGGCTGGCACGAGGAAGTTAAGATAGGGCTCATTCCGTCTCCCGGGATAGTACGCATGCCTTTGATTGGCCCGGAGGCCAAGGCCGATCTTACGCAAACAGCATGAATACAAGTATCGGCGGCCTTGTGTATTGCGCCGGGTCAGTCAGCGTTGCAACTGTCGGCGCATTGCCATACTGAGGGAGGTACGATATGCGATTCATTTCAATACATCTGGAACGCTACATGTACGACCGAGGTTTCCGCCAAATCGTTGACCTCGCCAACAAGGGTCGCATAGATTGGAGTGTCGGCGATCAGTTGCAGGTGGGCCTTTAGCAAATATTCAGTATGGAAAGGACGAAACTAAGAATTGATAGGGACCTCGACGCTGGCGTAACCCCTAACGGCAAAATAGAGTTGGTCATCTTCACGCGTAATACCGACCGCCCCTTGCGCTCCTTCAGACCCATAGAACATGTCCCATATTTTTGCCAACCTGAACGGCAAACCTGTGAGGGGAGTGTCACAGAGACAAGAGAAACCGTACCCTTGGCGGTTTTCGGGTCTTCTAAGGCGTACAGTTGCGACTTCACAAACAGGAGAGTCGAATGACGGGCGCGGCCCCGTCGTCGCCGGTAGAGCAATGGACGGGAACGGGATATGATACACCTTGGCGTTGGCCGGGTCGGCAATCTTTCGAAGGACGTCGGCGACGGGCTCGGGAATAGAGCCGGGGGTATTTTGATGCCAAGCCGTCGACTCTAGAGACCAATTGTCGATGTGAATATGGAAGCGCGGTACAAAAGGAACTACGAACCGACTACCAACCACAGGATCTTCGCACCGTGGGGGCCGGGTTCGACCTGCAGCCCGGCATAGGTGGCAATAGTGCCGGGCGCGCTGGCCGCAGCGTGAGCAACAGACTTGATGGCCTGGTCCGGGGCGTGCGCGTCGCTGGAGGTGAACGAGAGGACAAATATCGATGAGAGATCTGGAGAACGAGACATGGTGATGAGCGAGGGGCGAACCAACTGAAATCCAGAGCCATGACCCACAGAGATAAATACCCGGCTAGCGCAGGTGAGATGACCTCTACCGCGTCCGTTGTGCCATATCGTCGAGAACACCAACGTCAACGTTTTGAGCCATAGCCACAACATGGCCAGTAGTCGTGACACGGCCGTTGAGTGACCATGTAGCCATCGCGAACGACTTGCCCTTTCCGATCGCGCTGCGAAAAACAATTAAAACAAATTGGCTTATCATGAAGACGTCATGACGTTCAGCTACTTCAGGAGAGACCGGGGGTGGATGAGGCAGAGATATTGCCGTCTAAGGGAGGCATTGCCGCCGGTTGCCGAAGGTGCTCCGGTGACTATCTGACCTACCGTGGTTGTCCGGAACAACTGACTTCGTGGAACGTCATCCAAGACGCCGTTCTCATAGCTTTCACAGGACCGCGGTTCTATGGCTCAGTCAGCATGATATACAAGTAGCTGTACGCCAGCCATTCCAACTCGATCTCATCTTCAACATGGCTCCCCGCGTATGGCTCAGTGAGTGGTGCATCATGTCCGTAGAGTTGCCTCGTCCACTAACTCGCATATCGTCAAGTCACTGGCAGCTCTGTCGGTTTTGGTCGCTTGCTGACAGAGTTGGTGCTTTCGAAAGGAGAAATCGTCGTCGCGACGCTCCGCAAGCCGGAAATCCTGGCCGATCTTGCGGCCAAATATCCGCCGTCGCAGCTCCTTGTCGTTAAATTGGATGTCACCAACGAGGAAGATGTCGATGCTGCGTTCGCGAAGGTGAAAGAAACGTTCGGCCGCCTCGACATTGTGGTCAATAACGGTCGGTCATCGGGCTTCCAAATAATACCGCGATATTGACAATCCCTTGACAGCCGGTTATGGACTTCTCGCCGAGATCGAGGGGACACCGCTTAATCTTGCTCGTACCATGTTCGAGGTCAACTTCTGGGGCGCCGCCAACATCGCACGCAGGGCGGTTGAGTTCTTCCGCGATGTAAACAAGCCGCAGGGTGGTCGCCTCCTGCACCTCACCTCGATCGTCGCCCTCCAGTCGCAGCCCGGGAACGGATACTACAGCGCTAGCAAGTGCGGTAAGCAGCTTCGTGATCCTTGTCCAGCCGGACAATCAGCTGACATCTTCTTTAGCGTCCGATGGGCTGATCGAGGCATTCGCAAAGGAGATCGATCCGTCGTGGAACATCAAACTCACGCTCATCGAACCAGGCGCGTTCCAGACTCGCGGCACAAGCCCAGAGTCTCTTGTCTCCGCACCCCAGCACCCGGCGTACACGTTCCCTGGCTCCATTACGAAGGCAGTGCGCGACTACGTGCCAGTAGCGACCTTGCCTGGTGATGCAGAGAAGCTCGTTCACGCACTCTACGCGATCGCGAATGAGAAGGACACCCCGCTGCGTGTGCCCCTCGGCGACGACGCCGTGAACGCAGCACTTTCGAAGGCGAAGAGCCTCAAGGCAGACGCTGAGCGAGTGCAGAAGGCGGAGTATGCGCAGGACCTCCTCCTTGACACTCCAGGTGGAACGGAGCCCCCGGGCTGGCGTCAGTAAGCGGCTCGCGGTAAAGAAGGGCCCAGATGGCGCAATCAGATGACGCGCTTCCATGTAATTGTCAGAAAGTGTTCGATTCGCTGGAAAACGAGCATGCCTTACCAGCCAAGCTATCTCTTTCAAGGAATGCACCAATGATCGTATTGACGTTATCGGTAAAGAGTCACTTGCTGCTATCTCCATTAAAAGCAAGGGGTAGCGGTCTAATCAAGCAGAAGTTGGCGGCTGCCATCCGTGATGAGAAACCCGCAAGTTGATGTCCGCAACCTTCATGGTTCGGAATACGGTGCAGTACGTCAGAATACCAATTTTCTCGTGTGGTTGGTTTGCTCTCGTAGGAAGGAGGAGTCATCAATGTGAGGTCGCGTGTCGCCTGCTTCCCTTCGAACAAGGAAGGCAAAGAGACTCACATTTGACACCTGTGTATATAGGCCAGGTTGTTATAGGTTGGTAGCCAGTTTTCATGTACTTATACGTTCCAAAGGTTGTCGGTTATCGAATGTCCTCCTAACGCGCTGCAGGAAGAAAACCAGCAATATATCAGTGCGTAGCCCTGAAGCACTTCAGTCGGAATGCAGCAACATCATACAGTCGCGAATGCGACAAACAGGCTGAGGACCGGGGGGTAATTTCCACGCTCATGCCTAAACCTGACCCGGCTTCTGCCGCCCTGATTGAGCTCGATACACATGGAACTGACGGATACAGCAAGCTCCTTCGCCAGTCTTCCAGATGACATACTCTACTGTATTTTCGCCCAGCTAACTCCTAAGGAAATCCTGCTGGTACGCCAGGTATGCCCCTCGCGCTCGCTGTTGGAACGTGCGGTGGCTTATCCAAACGCTCGCGCATCGCGTAGGCTTGTCGTCGGTTGAAAGATAGCACCTACCATAGAACCGTGTGGTTGACGCAGTACGCCAAGGAGTCACGTCGATACTCACTCGCTCCTCTGGGAAAAAGCGCTGGTGGCGTCGATGAACTGGAAAGCATCGTGCTCAGGGCGGTGCGCTTGCACGAGAAATGGACGTCTCCTTGCCCCCAACCGGTCTCGTCCCGGGAGTACACCCACCTCATCCCACGTGTACCGTTCGCATTGAAACTGACGCATGGACGGTGGCTATTTATCGGTGACTGCGATGGCCTGCGTTGCTACGACTTGGACCAACCCTCGCGTCCGGATCAAGCGCAGCCTTTGGCTTCATATCCCGGGCCTGTGCGTCATATAGAGTCCGAATATTGCTCGGAGAATGGGGAGGAGTATTTGCTAGTCGCTGCGTGCAAGATCAGTCTGACCTCTTCGAGCACGTACGTTCGCCTGTCCACGGATTTGCGAACGGTTCACTGACCCTGATGATAGAAACATCCTGAAGATGCCCCTGACGAAAGATGGGCCTTTAACGTTCGAACACCTTCGACGTGTACCAACCCCCGGTTGGAATGTGCGGCTTTCACCCAAGGGATTCCTGCTAATGTGGACTTCTGCGACCATGACTCTCCACGACGTCTCGACAGGCGTTGTGTATGGGTTCACGCCGACCGCAAGACACGTGGTGCGTACGAGGCTGTCATCGAGATTTTGATATGACCTGATCATTTCCTACAGCTCAGTGCAACTGGTCTGGCTCCGCTTCCCGTAGTGCACAATACCACATGCGCGCTGTTTGACACCCATGTTATCACAGTTAGGATGGGCTCCAGCGGCACTGTGATCGAGGCTTGGCCGCTTCCATCGGAACGCAAGATTCCCTCCGCAAACACGCCTTCTGGCAATGACTCGCCTTCAATTCAACCATCCCACTTGATGCTACTGTCATCTCACGCCACTGTTGATACCTTTCTCTCAGCAGAGTATATTCAAGCCAGGGACGAAATACGTTTGACATGCTGTTGGAGGCCCCCGATGGCTACGGACCCTAGTCGCGATACCCTGGTCTTGGACGCGTTAACCCTTTGCCGATATCCCGAACCACCGACAGTTCCTGACGCGGTCGGATTCTCCACCTCGCTCGCGACACAACGTACAGAAAGGTACATCTGGGCGGTCACTTCGGCGATTTCCCCAAGAAGCGGCATTATGCACGCTGTCGGCTGCGCGTCTACGCGTGCGGGAGGGGATGTTGTTGCCCTCACCTTCGACGTTGACGCGCCATCTCGTGACGATAGGATTGTTGTCAGAGATCTGGGTATCAAGCTTAACCAGGACGTGATTGGCTACGTCTTCGACCCTCTCAGAGGTCGCTTATGCTTCGAAGTAACTGGCGCGTGCAATACCATACGAGTAGTAGACTACGTGTAGATGATGTGTAATAGCGTAGCTGCTTGCCATAGATCCTGACGGGGAACGTACGGCAGTTCCCGATCCGTACGCCTGCGGAGGCGCCGGGCTGACTCCTCGCGAGACCACCATGAGTGTCTTGACGCGTCGCGTCTCTGCGTATTAGGGTGCATGCTCCTTGGCTTTGCTCCACCGCAACGACTGCTGCTCAGCTTGGGTCTAGGTCTCTACATCCGTTGTCTTGCATGCCAACTACGCGCTCCGCCCAGCGCGCCGAGGACGCAGTGCACGCGCAGTCTCTGGTCCGCTTCAACAGTACGCTCGAAGAGGTCACTCAAACGTCATCGACGCGTTCGCGCACCACCAAACGGAAGGCGGACGGGTCTCCTGTCAAGGGCACGCCGAAAAGGAGCCGCGCCGGAAACGAGGACGCGGCTGCATCTCCAAAGAGCATACTGAAGCCTTCTCCTAGCCCCGGTCCAACCGCACAGCGCGCCAGCCTCGAGCCGGAGGGTGAACTCGTCCCGGCCGTGCTCACGTTCTCGTTCGAGGGCGCCAAGCGACATCTTATCTCCGTAGACGGGAGATTCGCGGATGTTTTTGCGAAGATGAAATGCCGCCCGTTCCAGAATCTGGAGAGAGTCGATCCTTTCAGGACGCTCACGCAGTCCATATTGTGTGTGATGAGACTGTACTTCGTTGTTGTTTGTCTGCTTGACGCCGGTATGCGACTACGTAGGGGACAACAGATATCTTGGAAGGCTGCGCGCTCCATCACGTACAAGTTTATACGGCTATTCCATATGTCCTTGCCAGAGGCGCGACCTGATGGACCCGAGTCAGTATTGTTTTTGATGCTACCCGCAGTCATTTGCCGACGAATTGACTTCGCGATCTGCTGCTATTGGTCCGATGGGTAACATTGCCAATCGCCGATGATTCGCCAATCACGCTACGAATATTCTAGCCAACAATTCCCGTTCCCGACGGCTCATCAAGTCGCCACGATTGATATCCCCGCGTTGAGAAGTGCGGGGCTCAGCGGGCGAAAGGCCGAATACGGTTCGTTTCGCAGCCAGTTTATGGGAAGTGACTTGACGACTTGGGTCTAGTGCAAGATCTGGCGCAGCGTTTCGCGGATGGGCGGCTGTCTACCAAGAAATTACTGGAAGCGGACGACGAGGAGCTGGCGCGGATGTTACTAGAAGTCCGCGGTATTGGTCGGGTATGTGCGGGCTGCATTCGTCGCGGACGCTTCTGTATGCTCATGACGCTCGATATAGTGGACTGGTAAGGTTCATATGGACAGGCCCGTTGGTGCTGAATCTCATTACTGCGTTCGTACAGTGGACATGTTTGCCATGTTCTCGCTACGACGCCCCGATATTCTTCCTGTCGGTGAGTTCTGCGGCGCGACTTCTCATCTGATCACATCCGGATGAACGGCATGACGCAACGCCCAGGGGACCTCGGCGTTCAGCGCGGGATGCTTAGGTGGTTCCTATCGCTGCACTCGCCATCACACCGTTTCGCCATCGCGGCCGATAAGCTTCCCAAACCGCCTGGCGACGAGCAGCAGCAGCAGCAAGATAGCGCACCCAAGGCGACACCGGGCTCCAAGCGAAAGAGGCCGAGAAAGCCGGCGGAGGGCGACGGCGACGCGACCGTTGAGCAGGCAGCGGCGAACGAAGAGTTGAGCGTACCGCGCGGGTCTTCCCCGGACGTGTCATCAGTCCCGCCCGCGCCCGTGCCCGCCACACCAGCGGTCAACGCGGGGAATGATGGCGCGAGCGAGGGTGATGCGACCGATCCCGCGCAGGAGCTGCGTTTGCCTGCCTTGCCTACGCCGTTCACGCCTTCCATCGAGACGACCCTGAACGCTGGCGGGGGCGACGAGTTGCCCGGCGCCGGTAAGAAGACCAAGCCCGCGCCTCTCCCAGAGGGCTTGTCCGTCGCCGTGCTCAAGAGCAGGCTCGACGGCAAGAAGAAAGTAAAGTGCGCATGCCTATCGCCATTGCTTCTGCGCCAGAGGGTTCTTTGTTCGCCTCCTGCCTTTCTTCGGGTTATTGAGACGACTCGCGATGCGCGCCGATGATTGGACCGATTGGCTGACTCAGATCGGTCTGTTGCTATCCCAGGGGCGCGTTCCTGACGCCTAAAGAGATGGAAGACCTGACGGAATCGTGGAAACCGTACCGTAGCCTCGGTAAGTGCCCCCGATGCGTCGAGCGATATGACGCTGACGAGGAGACCGGTAGGTGTGTATTACATGTGGGCGTTGGCAGAGGAGCCGTCGTCGGAATGAGAGGCTGCGGTGGTCTCTCGTCGTGGCGTGGAGGTGGCGACTTCTGATAGAGGTGGGACCGACGCTTGCTGGAGACGCGGATGGAAGCGCGTCGACCTGCATCACGGGCTTCGGGGGTGTTACCCGCTAGCGCACCCCAGGGTTCTGGTCAGAATGCTCCATCCGTTTGCGCCGGGGGTGGCTGCGATTCATGTTCATAGATGGCTGATCTCGATCAGACGTCATGTATTGCAGCGTTAATGATACGGAGGAGTGGATGACTTCCCGTAAGATTTGGAGCGACAGAAACACAGAATAAACAGTTCAAACCCCGATTTGTGGGTTATGCTGTACGTTTATGCCCCCGTACGGTGTGGGGCGGAAATAGACATCATAAACGCGGAGATCCGTTGAGAAGGGCTGAGCAGCGAATGAGGAAGAGATAGGGTCACGTGTATGACAAATTCCTGTCTGTAAACGGTCATTTTGGTCTGGAAGGGGGGGTCGACCCCCCCTTCCAGATAAAAGGTCTGTACGAGCGACTTGTAAACCGACAACTTGGCTCGTCGATGCCGATTTTTCGGCATCGCTCGCTTAGTGGATTTGTAAGCGAAATCTATTCTATTCGGCCTTACAGATCCTTACGGGAAGTCACCCAGTGGTGCGGGCTATCTTTCCTGACAACAGAGGATCTCCGGCACCGCCACGCGGTGGCCCTCGGTCTCCGACGACGAGCGTTGGTTCCGCCTGCGTGTCGAGAGCGAGTAGTAGCGGTGGCAACGAACGTTTGTACTGCTGGGACGCGATGGGATATGCGGTCGCAGGCGCATCAGACGGCCTCGCGAGCAATGGAGGGGAAAGGCGCCGTGTCCGGATATGGAGATGTGATAGTTTCCAGGCGATTGCCGCGCCTTTTGGTTTGAAGGCACTCGAACCGTTACAAGTTTGCCTGTCATCAGCCCGGCCACCGCTTCAAAAGCAACGGCGGACGATGCAGATCCACCGCCCGCCCTCTCCCCCGCCGCCGTCCCCTTCCCCCTTCCCCTTCCCGCCCGCCGCTCTTTTCTTCGTTCGTTTATTCTCATTTTCTTCCGCCTCCACCGACTCGAGTCTCCCCAATGCGTCCCATCCAGCTCCCCCGCCTCCACTCCGTCGCGATACCTTACATCCCCGGCCAGCCCTCGCCCGCCTCCCCCGCGATGGAGTCGCCGTCCACCGACACCGAGTACTCGTCCTCCGAAGAGGATCCGCTCAACACGCCGCTCACCGAGGACGAGTATCTGAACGGTTCCGGCAGCAGCCTCTTCCGGCGCGACTACCTCTCCGGCCACATCTCGTACTTCCAGCAGCAGCAGCTCGAGGCCGCTGCCCACAAGCACCTCGCCGCCATCTCTCCCCAGAAGTCGCCCGCCGCGATCAGCCTACCGTTCTCGCGCCCGCTCACCCCGTCGCCCCCGACGTCAGCCCAGTCGCACTACAGTCATTACTCTCCCGCCCCCGCCCCCGCCTTCTGCACGCCCCAGATCCCCCGCGTCTCGTCTCACCCAGAGCTCGGCAGCTTCCGCTCCTTCGAGCCTCCCCGGCCCATCGCGATCCCCACCCTCTCGCTCTGCGTCGACGACAACGACGCTGTCTCACCCTTGGACGTCGCGATGGACGGAGACGAGTCACTCAGCCCCAGCACGGGCTTTCCGCTCCTCGGACGCGCGTACTCAGACCGCTTCCCCGTCGACCATGAGCTCAACTCGTACTTTGTCGAGACTTACGAACTCGAGGACGAGCTCGGCGCAGGTGGCTATGGTTTCGTCATGACGGCCCGGCATCGCACCGGCGGTCACGAAACCGCCGTCAAGTTCATCATCAAGGACAAGGTTCCTGCGCACGCGTGGGTCGAGGACGAGAGCTTTGGGCGCATCCCGTCCGAGGTCATGCTCGTCAGCCTGCTTGAGCACGATAACATCGTTCGGTGCTTGGACATCTTCGAAGACTCGCACTACTTTTATCTCGTACGTCTTTCCCTGGATCATCGTCGCGAAGCTGGGGCTCATGATGCCTCTGTAGGTCCAGGAGCTGCACGGAACGCCCTGGGTTTCCAGAAAGAAGGCTCAGCATCAGGAGCTCGCTGTGCCATCTCTGACGCCGTCATCATCCTGTTCCACCCTGGATTCGCTCCCTCTATTGACGCCGCATCCCACGGACACTGCGATCTGGGAAAGCCAGCTCGAGCAGTTTAGAAACGGGCAGAAACAACCGGAGAATCTCCAGCCGTTGCCACCTCCCGCCTTCGGACGGCGCGCCTCTCACGACCTCTTCGAGTGCATCGAGCAGTCGAGGCACAAGCGGCTCCCCGAGCCGCAGGCACGCTACATCTTCGCGCAGGTGATTGAGGCCGTCCACTACCTAGAGCAACTCGGGATCACCCATCGGGACATCAAAGATGAAAACCTTGTCATCGACAGCGATTTGAAGGTGATTGCTTGATCTAGATCTACTTGCGACCGACGATGGCTAAGAATCATCGGCGTCTTGGCAGGTCAAGCTCATTGATTTTGGGAGCGCCGTTGTCTCCGACCCTGAGCAAGAACGACCTTATTATCAAATGTTTTACGGCACCACCGCCTACGCTGCCTCGGAGATCCTACAGAGGAAAAAGTATCAGGCGCCGCCGGCGGAGATCTGGACGCTTGGCGTCCTCCTCTCCTTCCTCCTCACGGGCTCGTCGCCCTTCCTGTCGGAGGACGACGCCATCCACGGCCGCGTATCGATTCGCGAGTCGATTGCCACGACCCTGTCTGAAGACTGCCTCAGCCTCATGCAGCGGTGCCTCGAGCCGGACCCCTCGAAGCGGGCAGATATTTATGAAGTGCGGGCCCATCCGTGGCTCCAGGGTACTCTCGACATCGAATGTCTCTGAGCGACGCACTTCCCCCCACCAATCACACTGTTTCATACTCTGGGAGATGAATTTATTCGGACGCTCTTCCGACGGACAGTTAACCGGTTCGTTTGGGATAGAAATTAACGTATGGATATATTTATTCTTTTTTATTGGGTTGGTCGGACGAGCCTGCCTTCCCCATCGCAACAGCACTGTATAACATGCAATTCTCCCCCTCCATCCTCATCGTTTCTCTTCCCTGTTCGATAATTTATCAACATCTTGGCGCGAGCCCCTTTGGCTACCCTTTCGTTCTCCCTCTCTCCACTCGCGATGTCGACGACCTCTGTCGTTAGCGCTATCGCATGTCTCATTTACACCCACCTCCCGTCGTATAATGTGTTCCATTTAGAGTTACATACGTATTACTGTACGTGCTGTCGATTTGTCGAGCTGTCAATGGATGGATATCGGGCGCGATGGGCGCCCCGAGAGGACCTATTTTGGATAACATTACCGTGGATGGATCAGGGCTGCGAAGCGTGAAGCTGGACGAGACAAACATGAAGGTGAAACAAGGTCCGTACGCAATGCGATGCTAAATCACCATGGAAGGTCCATTTGGCATTGGGATGTGCCGTTGATTCTTGGTCTAGGACCAATGCGCGTCCCGAGGAAGTTCAGTTTGAGACCAAGGTATATGCGCCGCGTGGTTGATCATCCGGGGATAACCTGCTATTGCTAAAATCAAAACGGACAACGAAACGTTGATCATGTATTCTCATGCCTGGGCTGTACATGTCGCTCAGAATATACCAACCCGACGGCGACGGAGCCATTGATCTGATTCAGATTCAGATATAGTCCGAACACTAGAGGTGTTCAACCGTTCCGCACGTCGGTTACTCAATATGCGACGGCCTATTCATGGATCCGAATCGTCCATTGCTCGACCCGCAGTCGGCCCCGAATAAGATACGTACGGGAATGATTATCAGGATATAAAATATTCAATGGCATCTCTCCGATGCGGGTTTCGTGCTTCTCCAACCAACACCCGATCCGCTTTTGAATGGATCCACAAATCTCCTATACAAGGAATGTGCACACTGTAGCTACCGAAACCGCTACTGCAGATAAATTACATTCAGGAAAGGAGCGTGAACTAGTGCGATGAGGTAAGTCCGATATAACAGAGAGGTGCGTAACCAGAAGATTGAACAGGAAAGCAGACGGTCCCGAAGAGCGAGCAGAGGAACAGGGGGGAGGGAACGTATGTCTATAGAACAGTGGGGGCAAGCAAACGAGTGCGAGATCGTGTAGCGATTATGAGATTATAGGTGTACTTTGCGTGATGGAGAGACTGCAACGCCGTCACGATCACCGGAGCAGTTCCACCTCTTGGCCGTCGGAGGGGTAGCGATAGGCCACGAACTCCCGATCCTGGTCAACGAGGTCCTCAAGCGCTTTCCGCGAGGTGACCGACATGCGTGGGATGCTCACGGGGGACGCCGCACCGGCGTAGCCAGCGTTGATCATCCCCTCGTGTCGCGCGTCCGAGCTCGAGGACCGGATAAGCGGGAACTCGGGAACGGGAGCGGGCTCAGGTTCGTGTCCTACGGACTTCTTCCCTAGGAAACTGACTAGCCCAAACTTGCTCCGGCGTTTCTTCGGTGTTCGCAGAGAGAAGGCGGAGCCGTTCGCCTGGTTGAATGCAGCCGCACTGCCAAACTCGTCGTACGCCTCCGGCCTCGCGGCGGACGGGGCGCGCGTCGCGGGGAGCGTTTGGGCCATCTGCGGTCGGGTGGCCATTCCGCCGAATGACTGCCGCCGCGTCTCGGCCGTTCGGAAGGGGGCCTGCGGCTGAGCCAGTTCGTGAACGGTAGAACTGCCTTCGAAGGGCGCCTGCCGGGGGTCGTACGTGAACACGGTCGTAGGCCGCATATCTCCGCCGAGGGACGTGGGGTGGCGAGAGCGCGCTTCCGGGGGGAGAGGAGGCAGGGATTTGTCGCGTCTGATCATAGACCCCGGGCGTGCGGCGTTCGCATAAAGCGGGATGTCCAGGCTCGAGAGTACCTCGCGCCGTGAGTTCGGCGAGATCCGTCCTCGACCGCCGACTTCCTGGGATGTCCCGGCAGCTGGAGCTGCGCGCGACCGATCTTCGCCTGGGGTCGAATCCTGGTCACTCAACCCATTACCCTCCCCATCGCTGTGCAGGTGTTCACCCGCCGATTTGCGCGAGGAGACGGGAGACGGGACGAGACTGGAGGGTGCGGTGGCGGGCGAAAGCGTCATGGCCGGGGATGCAACGGAATAATTAGCGGTGGAGGTCGAAGGCAGTGAAGGCATGGATGACACATGCCGGTGATCACCGGACCCTCTGTCGACGAGGTACGACAAGGGTGGGGGAGGCGCGAGAGGTAGATCGTCTTCCGGTTTTTCCAGCGACCGAGCCTGGTTTGGACTGGGCTTGCTCTTATACGAGCCCGTCACGATACGCCAGAACTTGGCAAGGCCTTTCTTCTTCTTTGCCTGCTTCTCGGCCTCTTTTGCCATAGAGGCAGCGCGTTCGGCATCGTAGGCAGGATAACGCCCCTTCTCCCGAGCGCCGTCGGGAAGGACGCCCATATCCATGGACATCTCACCCACGTGGCCGAGCCTCTGCTCTTCCCGTTGTAGTGCGACACTGCAGTCATACAAGTAAGCGCTTTTCCAAGATGACCATGAAACAAAACATACTGCATGTCTACCATACTCCCCGATATGCCGGAAACGGCCAAACTATCCCGGCTGCGCCAAGGACTCAGGGTGCCCAAGAAGCGCGAGCGTCGGGGCGACGCCGGTCCTATACTTTGAACATCCGAGAACGACGCCTGCGAGTACGCCCGTGGTAGTCCGGAGCGGTCCAAAGGAGCAGTCAGGACGCTGGCGGGTCGGCCAGAGCTCGCTTGAGAGAAGCGCGAGTCCGGCTTGACACCCGAGTGGAAGCCGTTGTCGGTCATTGGGAGGGGACTATGCGCCGAATATACTGACAAGACGTCCGCGCCTGAGCCCCGCGACGACTTTCTCGCACGGCTCTTCTCCCTGCGCTCCTCTTTCCGCCGTCGTTCACGCTCCTCCTTCTCCTCCTTTCGCACATCGACGTGCTCCACAATCATACCGTTCTCGAGCAACGTCACCTCGCGAGAGTTGCTGTACGCGTGTTGGGCGACGGAAGGCATCGATGTCGACCGTGGCGCTTTGATGCGGACGCCGCCGATGTCATCGGCGGGTGCAGCGCTCGACCCGATGTCGTACGCCGAACGCCGCAACTGAGAGTACGCATCGCGCATCTTGTTGTCGATTTGCCGGGATTCTTGCATAGCGCGAGCGTGCGCCAAGGCTTCAGCCTCGAGGAGCGCTCGCTGCGATTTGACGTATTGGTTGAGCGTCTGCTGCCGAGACGTTGGTTCTTTCGGGTTCTGTATATGGCTTAGCACCAACATCAATGTTACGGACGTAAACGCGTACCATAGCCAACCAGGCTTTCAGATTGGGTGTGATCAAGGGATCACCTCGCGCCTTCGGTCGTTCGGGATCATCCGATACAATGCCTGCCGCCTCTTCTTCCTCTTCCTGTCGTAAAAGCTCATGAAAGTGCACGTCGCTCTCGCGTTCCCAAACACCAGGACTCGTGACGTCCACGTCGGCCATGTCCTGATCGCGCATCGCACATTCCACGCAGACTTCTTCCTGGATCGGGAGCGGGCTGGGGGAATAGACAGGGTTGATGGGATTCGGGGACGCAGCGGGGGTAACGTAAGTCGGTTGTTGGGGGTACACTTTCGGCTTGGGGACGATGTTGACCGGCATGGGGCCCGAGGGGGCGTACGTCGGGGACGCGGACATCGGCGTGATGGGAGACCGGGCCTCGTGGAAGGCACTACTCATTACGGGTAGGGCTGGGTGTCGTGGGGAAGAGGGGACGTAGGGAATCAAACTGTCGCGGAAGGACTGGCTGCCCTGGCCAGGTGAGACAGACTGGGGTTGGGACCCGTTGTGCGCGTTCTCGCCGAGGTATGAGGGTTCGTGAGCAGACTCGGGCGATACAATGCCCGGTGTCGTGGCCGGGGGTGAGAGTTGACCGCCGTACCGCGCCGATCCCGCAGGGAAGACGTAAGACAGCACCTTGTCGTCTTGGGAAGATGGCCGAGGTTCTGCGCCGTTAGCGTGATCTGCGTCGTAATTGGCAGGGGATTCGTGGGCGGGATTGCGGGGGGCTTGCTGGGCAGGCGGCTCGTCGAAGGCGGGGGAAGTCAATGGAGACCCGCTAGTCCGGCTTCGTCGCGGCGCGTTGGCGCCCTCTACGTCCGCCTGGGGTTCCGGGTGGTCGCCGTCGTACTCAGGCCCGTGCGATGGACGGCCGTCGTTGGCGGGGCCTGCAGCGCTGGACGAGAATCGGCGGGGGTAAAGGTCGAGCGGGCTTTGGAGGTTCGTGGGCATGGCTACGGGGGATTCGGCAAAGACGGAGGGCCCGTTGTCGTATCGCATGGGATGGAGGGTCGTTGCCGTCGCCATTCGGCCACCGTTTGCGGCCTAAGCACTGGGGATGAGCAGGAGCTGGGGTCGGGCAGACCGCGAGGCTGGGGCTGTAGCCGCGTTCCCAGGCAGGTGAATGACGCCGCTCCCAGGCCAGATGCGACGAATCAGAACGGGTGAGGGGGGAACGTAGGAAGCAGAATGCGCTGGATACGATGAAGAAAGAGTTGGAAAGCGAAACGAAAAATAGGAGGTAGTAACAGGGGACGCCCACACAGGTCGACGTCGAAAGGTCGAGCGAGGGTGAAACGCCACTAGCCACGCGCTCAAGTGCGACCCCGATCACATCCAGGCTCGCTTCCGAATAATATATGTTCCAATTTCTCAGGGCATGCTACCTGTGATTTCCCTCCTTCTGGGGGAAGCTCCACCGAAGCGCGAATGCGAAGGGTGGAATATCCAGGTCAGGAAAACCACACATATGTTCAGACCACGGACTGGGTAAGGTGAGCATCAAGCAGCTGATACCGGCAATGCAATTGGGCAGAATTGGCCCCGAACTCTCAATACGATTCGGGAGATGCACGAGTGCCCTCAAAACCATGCCAGCGTTGCCAAGGCAATACATATACTACGTCCAGCAGAATCAAATACAGGACGTAAAGATCCAACCGACGCCCTGGTCAAGAACTTCACTTGCGGTACCTGGCATGCGATGAGCAAGGAATCGGGAACACAAGATCAGTGCGACATACCATAGGACGCCCTTGCGACTCCTCCTCATCTTGCGCTGGAGCTGCAGCATGCCATACAGCAGAGCCTCGGCGGTTGGTGGGCAACCAGGTACATAAATGTCAACCGGAACGATACCTGGCGGAGTGAGTGGTGAATACCGGAGCACATGAGGGGGGAAAGGAAGCGGACGCACGGTCGCATCCACGAACGACCGAGTAGGAGTAGTGGTAGTATCCACCTCCGTTCGCGCAGGATCCCATGGAAATGACCCATCCTGTCCCGCCGCGTGTCAACACCACAAGTAACAAAGAGAAGGATGGTGAAAACGCACGTGGGGAAGGCATCTGGTCGTACACCTTGCGCAAAGCGGGTGCCATCTTGTTCGTGAGGGTTCCCGCAACGATCATTATATCCGACTGCCGAGGACTAGCTCGGAAAACGACACCCAGCCTGTCCTGGTCATACCGCGCGGCGGCCATGTGCATCATCTCCACGGCACAGCAGGCGAGACCTGGAGACGGGACATACAAGTTGGGAGGAAGTTCAAGCTGTATCGTCCTGCAAGCACGCACCGAAAGTCATTGGCCACATGGAAGACTGCCTAGCCCAGTTGGCGATCTTGTCGAATGTGGAGAGAACATACTCTATGAGTTCGTATCAGAGTATGGTCGCAGTCGAAACGGGCCCAATAGAAACCGTACCTGCCCGGTTTTGCGGCGTCTCCAAACTGAGTTGATTAGAACCTTGCTTCGCAAGGGCGGTTATAGGCGTCGGTTCGGGTCCGGTATGCGATGAACGGGCAAGTGCAGGGAATTGGCGGTATACTAGGAGAGATAAGGCGGGTCAGATCCCATGTCCGCATGCTGCTATACGCTACCCCTAATCAAATGTACCTTGGATGCCTAGAGCGTTTGCCGGTCGAGTGGCGACAGAGCGTCCTACGTTGGCCGCTAGAGAGCACGTAACATGGCGAGTTAGTCGCGCTGCAAATCTGGACATAGAAAGTGCAAGTGACCTGAGGCCTGGAGGAACCGGAGGGACATGGTGAAGAGAGTGGAGAGGTTGGGCGGGTCGAGCTGAATAACGGACCAATGATTGGTCGGCTCGGGTCCTCGGGAGGACTTGGAGGCGGCTTAGTAAGCGGGCGTCCTCCGCATTAGCGCCCAATCGGCTGAGTGCGAAGCTACCGTATACTATAAACAATTATCACTAGTAAAAACGTATCTATGCAATCAAACATGGCTTGGGAGAACCGGTAGGTAAGCCGGATAGCGTATAAACCAAGTAATACTCCGATCCGAACATTAGCTTTCCAACTTGGTGACTACCTGAAGAGCCGCCGTCGCGGTAAGCGAAATCAATGGCGAGAGGATGTACTGGAAACATGTCAATGAGACTCTGCAGCATCCTCGTAATCCCTACGCACCGCAATGGTCAAGTATCCGGCGATCGGTCCTTGATCCTTGTTGACCATTTCCGAGATGCTCGCCAGAACCATAGCCGACGGACCCGACGGAAGCAGAATGAGCAAAAACCTGAAACCGAACAAAGTCAGCTTCTGCGAACGTTATGGTGATCTATAGTGATCTGAGACATACCATGTCAGTGGATCATCCACGTAAATGCCCTTCTTGGCCGTCAAGAACACGAAACCGATGCTGAGTGCCGGCATCGCCAAATATCGAACCATAATGGCGAATGACGTTGGTTTGATACCTGGGTAAGCAGTTGGGACGGTGGCTAGCTGACCGCCGACAGCAAACATTTGCAAGGAGACACTAGACAAGTTGTCGGGACAGAGCATGCGCACCGCTGAGTGTTACGCACAAAAGATCGCCGAGATTCTTCACAGCTCGAGTGATTGAATTGTAGAAAGCCCCTTCCTCGTCGAAAACCGTCTTGCGCACAGGCGATATACACTAGTCTCCTGGTCAATGCTTGCTGTATCAAAGGGGGAAGCTATGGAACGCACCCCCAATATCAGAGCAATGATGGCGCCGATCAGTGGTGGGTTGAGGTATGATGCGATCTTCTTGACCGGTTTCTCCAAGAACAGGATACGATTGGGCCAGTGAATGTCGGGTATATTCTCGAGCTGTTTGATAGGTGCGCTCGGGTACTCTGTATTGTCCATCCCGTCATGGTCCGCTAGTAGTCCAACATGCTCCGAATCCTGTATCGTCGCTCCGATCCCACTTGGACCAGGCAGCAGACGATCATGGTCCTCTTGATCCGCGTCCTCCAGAATTTCAGGCCCGATCGCAAAGGAGAAGCACTGTTGAACGATGGCATTCAAAAGCACGATGGTTTTTGCGCGGTTCATAGTGCTTGAGGAACTGTCGCTGTCGTTCTTCTTTAACGCGTCAAGGACACCAGTACTGTCGAGTGCGTCGAGAAGAAGCAGGGGCAGCGCATTGGAGTTTGGGCGTCCAGAGGCAATAATGGTCCATTTAGGAAGCTAGGCGAGCATCGGATCAGGGCTAGAGGAATGAGAAAGCCTCGACATACCTTGAACAGTTTGACGCCAACCCAACCCAGCCCATGAGCGATGACCGTGCTTACGAGCCCCCAAGCAGGCATGATCCAAAGCCGTCCCAAGTTACTCGGAGACAGCTCTGGTCCCATTTGTTGGATGAGCAGACAGGGCAGGAATACTGATGTCGACAGCTTCATTATCTGCTTCGCGGATTGCTTGTTGAGCATACCAGCTCGCGTAGCAATATACCCCGCCAGAAGAGTCAGTAGGACCGAAATCGAACCCTTGTGAGCATAGCGCGTGAGCATTTCCAATCAGTCCTGAAATCCGATGAACAGCAGACCTCCAATGCGCCAAGGACTGTGGCGGAAGCTGCTTTCTTCTCGCCGTCCGAGTTATCCATGGTACGTGAGGTGAGTTTGTGCTATCGTTGGTTTTGTCGGTGCGATAATAAATCCCGGGAGTTGGTGTGAGCGAGCAGCTTCATCACGCCGCCGACGTTCAGGTATTATAAAACACTCCCGCCGCCCCAGCGGACGGGAGTCGAGAGCGACGTCACTGTTCAACGGGACACCGCCACTCAACGAAACCTTTCTTTAACGTCGTCATCGACGCAGGTATTAATAGACACACATGCATCAGTATAGCACGACTCTAGATACGCGACAGCACGATGACATCAACTCGAAAAACATGAACCTATCCTCAAACCACGGGAGCAACGTTTAACGAGGAGCGAGAACAACACAGTGGATACAGGTCCGCAATCTAGTTGATATCTTCATACTCTTCGTCGATCTCTAAGAATTTGCGTATTTCTTCGGGGTCCACGCCTTGCCGAGTCATGTGTGATAGCAAGATGCAGTAGTTGTCTGTGGCCCAGGCAAGCGCTGTGAGCTGTTGTGGCGACCTTGCGAGTGCATGTTCGGGAGGTCATTCGGGCATTTCTCGACGCACCAGTCCATCTGATCGCCGCCTCTTTGGCCAAGGTGACTGCGCGTCTTTTTTCCTCGACTTTGATTGGATCGCAAGCACCATAACGAGCCAGTTCCTCTTCTAATGCGGCCAAGCGTTCCTTTGCAGCATCAAGTTGAGAAAGAGAGGCAGCGCGGTCCTCCTGCTCATGAGAGTAAAGTGGAAGGTAGACCCGCGACGAGGTTGTGCGGTCCCATAAGGATCACGGCACTGTGTGAGCTTGGAAAGCGTTTACGTTCCGGTTTAAGACGAACACTTTGCGGCCTCGAGGCCTTCTCCACTTCGGTTTGCGCCTTGAGTTCAGCGAATTCTTCTTGCTGTGCTGCTTCAAGATCTTTGACGGCCCTTAGTCGGTTTTGTACCTATTGAACTGAGATTGTCAGTGACGACAGACTGCGTGCAGTCGCCCGAGATGACCTCTGTCCCATGTTGGGATGGAAAGCTCCAGAAAACTAGAGTATTAAGACAATCGTAGGCATAAAAACAACGCGTCAGATTATTGAGCCCGTTTCATGGAACGTGAATGCACCATAGCGTACAGTTCGACGAGCCGATTTTATCTGTTTTGACGAGGTTGTCATCAACTAGGGATTGAACTACCTCCTTGACGGTTTGAGAGACTGCATATAGTCACGATCAAATGATGATAATGTCTCCCCATCCTTATTATTACCGATTCCCTTGAGCTTAGGACCAAGCTTCTCTAATTCCTTGAGCTTCATGACGCCGGCAGCCTAGATTGGGTGATAGCAATAACGGTAGAAGTAGACCTCTTACCTGGAAGAAGTCTTTCTGTTGCGACCCGGTATATGAACAGAACGTATACGAGGAGAATATATGCACTCACACTTTCATGGAAAATCTCCAACATTTTGACGCGTTTTTCTTCAGCGGAGAGACCCCGTGGTGCCTAAAGATACATTATAAAACGTTTGCGAGTTGATTTCGGTACGCTTCATACCATCGTTAAGTATGAAGGTGCTAATCAGGTTCGATCACCTGAACGAATGTGAATGCCGCAGTTAGGAGACTCCAAGTCACGGTAGTCATGGTCACAGTGAAGCAGCCGTCACACCACTTGAATTCGAAGCCCCGGCCCGACGGACAGTATCATTTTGGCGGCTCTTGGGCTGCTCACAAGGGTGGTTTGATTGTGCGTGTTCCTGGCGAGCATATGCGCCGACGTTCAATTCAGTCCCAGCATCAGTTACGACTCTCCGAGCTGGTCATTTCCCCTCATCTTCGATATCGCCGACCCGATTTCCGCGTTTTGGCTAAAATAAGTATGAGAGGTTGAGCGCAACAGCGTATACAGTACTCTTATGGGAGTTGTCACACTGGGCCCCAGGCGTTCTGATGCGAAACAGGAGACGAGGTACTGTATACCCCATGGCACGATCACGTAAGATCACACCGGCCGGCGGGGCCGGACCTGCGTCGGTAAGCACGTGGGCGATGGGCGGGGAGGCGAGCGAATAAACCTTGCAGTCCCGTCGAATTAGTTCGATATCGCCCCTCACGATGTCTCTTTCGCCAAACTCGTCAACAAGCTCGACAACGACCAAGCGCAGGCGGATGAGTATCAACACGATGCACTCTGTCGACAGTAGAGCCGAACTGCCCTCGCCGGATGACTCTAACAGCCACATGCATTATCAACAGCAGCCACAATCGCAGGGCCCGACAGCACACATCCCGAAGCGTGGTGCGCGCGCCTGCACGAACTGCAGGAAGGGAAAGAATCGCTGTGAAGGCGAGGTGAGCCAACTCTTAACTGGCGTAGTGGCCCGCCATCCCGCTCATGGCCCGCCTTTCCGCTCCGGCCCGGGGTAGGCTCCATGTCGTCGCTGCCAACTGAGCGGCCTCCCCTGTGTGTTCGAAAAGCCAGAGAAGAAAAATGGAAACCCTATGGCGGGACCCAGCGTAGAGTGCGCTCTTCTCACCTTCTCTCGACTAACGATTGTTTACGTCCGTGTCGTATAGGCGTCTCTCACGGCTGGAAGGCCAGTACCTGGTATGTTCGTCTTTCTCGCCTTACAACGTACCACTTAAATCGCACGACAGGTCATGCAGAGCCAAATGATCGGCATGCAGTCATCATTGGACAGAATCCTGACGGTTTTGCAAAACCAAACACAAGCGAATTCCCCTATGGCCCCGCCCCAAATGTACCAATCCCCAGGTCGAGATTATCACTCTAACGGACGTAATAACGGGGACTCCTACCAATCACCACGCAGCCAACCTAAATCGTTTCCGCCTTTACCCGGTTTTGCGCCACCGGTGAGGTCTTGTTGACGACTGTTCGAGAGCGTTGACTCAACGTTTTCTCAACAGCCTCACAAATATGCTACATACGGCATCGTCCCAAGTACTGCTCCATCATCCGACGACGAATCTGAAGATACTTTACCTCGAGCTACGCTGAATGCCCCTATCGAAGCATTGCAGGGTTTAGCCAACGCGGCAGCGGAGGCCGCTGCGGCTCCCTCGAATTCGCCGCCTAGGTAACGTATACCGAACAGCCGTGGATGATTTACTTTTTCTCTGATACCGACACCCAGGGTCAAAAAGCGCAAGAGGGCAGAGCCTATCCCCCGAAATGCTTTTCCACATGTCGTTGAAAAGGTGCTCACCATCAATTTGTGCCGCTTCGCGAATGCTAACTGTCGGGCGCAGGGTCTCGTCAGCGATTCTGAAGCTCGCGAGCTCTATCATATGTACGTTGTTCGGACCCTTCCTCCTTACTTTGCTCACACCCACGTAGCTTCTTCTCCGGTTGTCACCTATTCATACCGCTCTTCGACACTGCGTACGATACATACGAAGGCGTGATGGAGCGAAGTCCTTGGACCTTTGATGCTATCCTAGCCGTGGCAGGAAAAATCCGGAGCGGCAACGGACCCCTCAGTTCGACGTTCTACAAGTGCCTCGAGGAAGCACAGGGAATCGCTCGTTCGTCACTCTTCGGACCGGTCGTGCGGAAGGAAGCTGTTATGGGTGCGTTCGTCAATGAAGTCCGATTCTATATAGTGCTCTGTTTCCAACTCCGCGAAGCCTGCCTACCATGTTGACAAACTCGCAGGGATGTTGCTACTCGCTGCATGGAGCACCAACGGATGGCTACCTAGTGGACATGCAATGCGGATGGCACTAGACCTTGGCTTGCATCGGGCCCTCGAGAAACTTGTGGATGATAATGGCAAGAAGCGCACGGAGGAGGAAGAACGAGATCTAGGTACGATATGTGTTCACCTTTCCTACTTCCATCTGAGCTTATGGGCCTCCTCGAAGTTGTGTCCGCTCGTATATGGCTTTGCCTCTATTGGTTCGACCATCAGTGAGTGCGGCGTTGGCACACAGACGAAGTCACGCTTAGCCTGTGCAATAGGATGAGCCTTGGCACGGGTCGGCCGATTGTACTCAGGGACGAAAGCTCTATCAAACACTGCCGGGTTCTCCTCACGCATCCAATGGCATCACCTACCGACGTTCGCTTGGTTTCCCAGGTTGAGCTCATTGCGCAAAAGAGTGAGCTGATATTTAACCACTGCGAACACTTGGCTCAACCTGTCCTCAGCGCAAATCTACGAAACGTTATCTCCACTGAATGGCCAAGTCAACCACAACACGCTGGCGTTCATCCGCCGAGCGAACTTAGCGCTTGACAAGTGGTGGCAGGATTGTGATGAACTGCATCGTACGTTCGCATGTTCTCCCAGTACACTCGTGAATTCATCATTCCGTAAAATAGGTCAAACTATGGATGAAGAATCTCTCTTGCGAAAAATGCTCGCGGGAGAGTTGCACTACGCTAAGCTCTGGCTGGTATGCGTAGCCCTTCGGGGCGTTTCGTGGGACAAGATGCCGTTCGAGCAGCGTGAGCTTGCGTTCCAGGCGAAGGATGCTGCCTCCAATTGCTTGAGCATCTTCCTCGGCTCTCCTGCCTATCGGTACGGCTCTCGAGTCGCATGCTCATTTTCCTGTTTGACTGAAGTAACCCTTTCGCAGAGCGGCGCTCCGCTACGCGGTGCACGACAGCCTAGTTACCGCTGCGTTCTCCGGCCTTTTCTTGCTCAAGATGGCGAACCTGTTTCCGGCTGAACTTGACTTGGCAGCGATCATCAGTCAGGTTGAGCAGCTGGCGCACGTGTTATCCGAGGTTGCTGCGGAGAGGTTTGTACAGTTACTTGCTCAAACCTTGATGCGGTCTGATAACAGCGACAGGTATGCGCTGACGCTGCGCATTATGCTCGCCAACCTCAGGCGCAAAATTGGGCTCTCGACAGCGGCCCCTCCACCGCCGATGCAACATGTCATGCCCTTACCCGCCAGCGCGGAAGGTATGGTCGTCCCAGCGACGTTCGTTGACCCCGGAACGGTGCCCCAACCGTTCACTCTAGAAGAACTCGGTTTCGCATGGCCGCCGGAACGCGGCATATTCAGCCCATCCGCGATTCCGTTATGGCTGCAGGAGCAGGTACGCGTCCCCCTTTATCCATTTCAGGCACGATCACTGACCCGATCGTCGCATTGTGCAGAGCTTAACGGACTTAGGCATCCCGATGAATGGCAGTGATGGTATCTTCTTGCAGATGACTGGGTCGAATGGCTGGGGTGGTGATCTCAACGCAATGCCGGAAGCGTGGTAGGGTTCTGCTAGTCTTCTGTCGCTATCCTGTAACATTGGTTTGTGCTCGCTACGTTTCCTTCATTGCGTGTTGTCTATCGTAAGCAGTATCCTTGTACTCTATCTTGTCGTTGTTTTGTGGCTTGCTTAATCCTATCACGTTGGAAACGTGGACAGTGACATCAACAGCTTCCGCCAGTACACGCAATTATTACGTTGAACTGTCTACATGCATTCGAGCAGCTAAATTTACCAGGAGACGCTATTGCCGTCATACCGCTCCACAGAATCCGATGGAGCGGATGTTCCGGAGATGTAAGCGTGGTAACTCTACGTCACCTTCAGCCCCAGATAAAACTTGCCCGCCCATCTGCGGCATACGCATCTCCCCTTGCGACCTCACGACCTTTACGACCCCTCTACGCTATAACTTGCATCGGTAGGTTCATTTCGAAACAATCACTAATTAAACCGAAAGTAAACAACATGTCGCAGTAACAGTAACCATCATGGGCGCCTCCGCCGCTTATCCTGGTCTCTTCTTCTGCTTCGCCGCAATGGTGCTGCTCATCTTCGTAAGTCCAACTTGAACGGGTCACACGCACTGTAGACTCATTCGCTATGTAGGTCTCCGTCGGTGCCCCCACGTGGGACAAGATTGGCTTCCTCAAGGCGAACATCGATGGGACTAAACGCTTTGGTGTGTTCGGCTACACTGGCACGTCGTCCACCGTGGGGTGGCACTTCCAGCAAAGCATACTTGGGTTTGAGTACGTCTAAGCCGCATAACTACCTCCTAACAATACTGACCACATAACGCAGTGACCATCGTCTGAACCACGGAGTGGTACACAATCTTACCTTTGTCCTCATCCTGCTTCCCATAGCGGCAGGCCTGTCCGGTCTCGCCGTATTGTTCGGACTGTGTGGCGCACACTATCACCGCTCCGGTACAGTGTTCATGTCCCTCGCCGCTGCCCTTGCCACGCTTTGCACCCTTGTCGGCTTCATCATTGAGCTAGTGTTATTCGGCATCGCCGAGCACGAATTCCACAAACGCGGCTTCAGCGCCAAGTACGACAATGCGACTTGGATGACGCTTGGCGCGCTCGTGGCCTTGCTGGTGGGCTGGTGCACGTCGCTCTTCGGCGTTTTCGGCCACTACAGGAGAAGGAGGGCTGCATACCCTGCCAATAGCTACTAAGCTGCATCGTCACAGCATTTTCCATCTTGTTTGAGGATATATTGTCTTCCTCCTTCGCCCCTTTCCCCACCGATGATTATACTAATCCAAATGTACTCACGAAAGCTCCGAACCTACGTTTGGCGATATCATAATGTTTTAATGTTGTAATGATATGTTTTCGCCCTCCAACGCAATGATTACCACTGCGGCAAGGATATTCACTAACCCCGACGGAGTGCGTCATTCGTACATACGGAGAATATCACTGCGTTTGACCGACGAAGTCATTTATGAGAAGTGATAAACTCACGGAGGGTGATTGAACACCTCCTACCCGAGGAGTGAGCTTCTCACCTTGCAAGAGTGAGTTAGTACCCCGTAGGAATTGAGTCACAAAATGAATGTATCAGTCAAAACGGCCATTTTTAGTGAGTAAGTCAGCTCGGGTGAGGAACCCGATCAATCGTGAAAAATGAGTTGTTCAGTCTCGAGGACGGATTGGATCACGGCTCACAAGGGACAGGTTCACTGATAGCGAGCGCCTCATTCATGACACAGAACACACGGATATATTGAATACGTGGACATACATCACTAGCAATACAGGTCCGCGTCCAGTACAGTACAGAAATCATTAGCGAACCACGGGGAAAGTGATCGTACACAGAGCCTGACGTCTTCGAAGCGGAAGGTCGGAGTTGCCTGGTCAAGAGAGAGGGCGAGGGGACAAAGATGCGAGGTTGACGATGGATCGAACACTGATGATGAGAGGAAGGGCAGGTGTGCGCGGAGAGAACAAGATCGTTACTCCGCGATTGCTGCTGTATGCCGCGTCAGTACTAGCATTTGCGATGAGTACCACTGGAATACGCACTAGTGTTGCCACCGCGCATGCGCTGACTTCGCCGTATAGGAACCTAGTGGATGAATTATCAGCGCGGCACAGAAGAGGGCAGTCGCGCGAAGGAATGGTTTGCGGCGCGTCGCAGGTCGTCGGAGGCGACGTCGAGGGGGCACAGAATCCGCCGGACAGCCCGGCGAGCGGCGTCCAGCGTGGCCGGCCGCCGCCCACATGATTAGTCTAGAGTTGGCCTACCGGTGGTTTACTCACCAGGTTTTTCGTGTCAACGATTGGCGCAAGCGGCGCTCTTGCGTCCATCGTCTTTTTGGTCGTTGCTGGCATGCAAAGAGTGAGCATCAGATTCTGAGAGTAAGGAGCAAGTTCTCACCGCTCTTGGTCACGACCTTGACCTTGTCAGCCTGAAAAGAAGGGTCATCGAGAACAAATGAGAGTGAGATTAAGCAGAAAATGCGGTGACGCACCTTTGGCGGTGCAGACTCAGCACTCGCAGACGCAGCGGGTGTTCTCTCGGAGACCGCGATAGCCTTGCACTGCGGCTAGCGGAGTCGCTCAATTTGAGTAAGCCAGTCGCTCATTCCCCAGAATGAGTGAATTACGAGTGATTGACTCACTCAAACGGGAAATGTCCGCCGCCGGGAATGAGTGAATTACCCCTTTTGTTCAGGAATGTACTAAAATGAGTGATTATGGCAGTTAACGTGCGTGAGCGGAGCTCCGACGTCGACGCGTCGACGCACATGCACGATCGCGTCTGCTGCTGCTCGTCGTCTACTACGCCTTGCCGCCCGCTTCGCCAGCCCGTTCTGCTCGAAAATCTCAACAGACATCCTCTCGTCGCGGGCTCTTCGGAGGTACTACCGGGGAAGCAAGATATACCTGCTGTCACAACGCTGGTGAGCAGGATCCCTTCCTTCGCATTTGTTGTCTCCCGAAACCCGATGACATCGCCTAAGGCCAATGGACTCCGAGAGCGGGACGGTGGATTCCCTGAAACGCTCTCGGAGTCCGTTAATCTCTCTTGCTTGTTGTACCCGGGGGGCACATAACTGATCGTAGAAGGCTTAGGCAGGATAACGTCAATCCATCTACTCAACCCAGCACAGAACACGGCGCGGGTCTTCAAGAGTCGGTACGCGATGTTCCAACCCACGCACTATGACTAGGGATGACATTGCCGACTACAGACCTCGCTTGCAAGCCGCACGATGCGGATGCGACGTTCAGGGACTGGCACGCGGGCATCTGAGGTCTTACCGGGCCATCAAGATATCAGTGCATTCCTAGTGCTGGTGAGCGCAGTCATGTCATTCCATCCTCTTATCTTTCAATTCCTTCGCCCGAGGCCGTTGGACTCTGGGAGCGGGATAATGGATACCCCCATATGTTCTCACAGTTCGCTAATATCTCCTCTATGATGTACAGGGAGCGCATGGATGATCGCAGAAGACACACGCGGATCAAGCTTAACCCACCGCCTCAACCTTACACAGGACATGACGCGGGCCCAAAGGTGAGTACGCGCTGTCTGGACGCATACGCCCTGGATAGCCATGACACAACAGGTCATACCTATCGCTCAAGCTCAAGAGTCCCGGGTCAACGTTGAACCAAACATGAAAGTCCGGCCAGTGCTCGCGCGGGCTTTCTGGTGTCGAAGATGGAAACGCATGCTCTCCATGCGCCTGTGGTGAAGCAAGCGCATGCACATCTTAGGTGGGTATCCACTTCATCATTTGCGCAGCGGAGGCCGATGCACCGTAGTCTTTGATCATGTACATACCTATGCCCCTTTGATATCAATCATATCCCGAACGGCACGGAACTTGTCGCCTCCTCTCGCGGGCTGCTCCTTGCCAGCTCTCCCATCGCCCACGTCAACGTATTCCTGCCCTCCCGTCGTCCCCATACAACGCATCCTTGCTCACAACCCCGTGCTCGTCAGTATGCCTAGTGCAGCCAACAAACGCATCTGCCGGTGCTCTCCGCATTGCGGCCTCCTCCTATCCGACCGCCAAAGGCGTCGTCATTGCGCCCGCGCCAAGGACTCAGGCCGGGAGGCTGAAATTCTGTCGTCGGAGAGCGAGCCTGATTGCGTTGCGGAGTCTAGCAGCTTAGATGAAGCCATGGAGCCTTCTAGTCGCAGCTATATTGCTAGTCATTCTGAAGAGCTCTCGGATCATGGAACCGCGGATTTTTTAGGCATTGCAGACAGGTTACCATCGCCCGGTTTTATAGATGATGTGTCTCCTTCCGAGGGATATACGAACAACGCCGCCTTGGATTCATGTGGGGTCTCCACCTCATCTAGTGCCCATGAGTCGGATATCGAAGACACCCGCTCTTCTGCTTCGGACCAGACTGACAACGACGCAGATTTAGATATCTTGCTGCATGATCTCACGTACCATGAGGAAACCGATGTAGATGAGGAATGGACGATCGAGAGAGTCATAGCAGACTTACGTGCTGTCATCGGAGATGAGAAAGAGGCGCATCTGGAGCAGCTACGTTCGTCGGCGGTTTTGATTCTACGCACGTTCTCCTTGGGCTGATGATATGTTCAGGACACGATGTCCTCACTGAGGATGATCGCGATGACATCCGGATGTTTTGGCTCCGGTTTCTCAGCAACATGCCCCGTTCCACGTATAACTTGATGTGCAAGATGTTTCGGACTCGCATTCACATCAACTCCGAGTGGGTTCTTCTACGCCGCATAGCCCTGTTGAGTGGTGTGGTCCCGGTCTGGTACGACTGCTGTGTCAATTCATGCATATGTTATCTTGGTCAATACAAGGATGCGGACACCTGTCCATATTGTGGCGAGCTGCGCTACCTGGAAGGCCGGCGCAACCGGAAGGCTAGACGATACTTCTGCTATGTTCCCTTTATTCCTCGACTCCAATCATATTTCCGATCGGAAGATATGATCACGCTTCTACGGTACCGAAGTGAACACGCTGGATCTGAAGATGTCATCTCCGATGTATTTGATTGTCAGCACTACAATAATCTCAGGAAAGCCCCCGTCGTCATAGATGATGAGGAGCAGTCATTCTGCTACTTTTCTGGCGATACAGATCTTGCTTTTGCATCCTGTTCCGATAGCTACCTCATTTTCCGGCGCAAACATGGAGGACCAAGCGCCACCCCATTGCTACTTCAGAATCTTAGCCTTCCTCCTTCTATCCGAACACATCTCGAGCATTTGCTATGCATAGGAGTTATCCCAGGTCCTCGCGTGCCGAAGGATATGGCTTCATTTCAGATCCCTGCAGAGGAGGAGTGGGCCCAACTCGCACGTGGTGTTCGTACATTCCACCTCTCCATGCGTACCCACTTTCTTTTACGGGCCTACCGCATATTTGAAGAGGGTGATATAGTGGCGATCGAGAAGATATTGAATATGAAAGGTCATAATAGTGTTTCACCGTGTCGCTCTTGCTCAATCAAGGCATTCCGCCACCCTCTCCAAACCAACTATTATGCGGCACTTCATGCTCCCATGGTTTTGGGCGAGCCGCCACGGAGCTGGGATCCTCTTGCGCTGCCCAAGCGGACACATGAAGGCTTCCTGGAAGGCGCAGCTGCTGTTACAGCTGCATATGGGATATCTCAGGCCGCTGGTAAACGGGTTGACAAGTGGTGGGGCGTACGTGGATCACCTGCGATTGGCCGTGTTAAATCTGTCGATTATGCACGGTCTTTTCCTTGGGACTGGATGCATTTATTTGGACAAAACATCATACCAAACTTTATACTCCTATGGACGGGACGGTTCAAGGGACTGGATGCAGGTACCGAGGATTACATTCTCGCCGAGGATGTATGGCAAGCAATTGGACAGGAGACTGCCGATGCAGTGCAAAACATTCCCTCATCCTTTGTCCGGCGCATAGGGAATATTGCTGTTGATCGCTCCGATATGACAGCTGAATCATACATCTTCTGGTTCATGTATATTGCCCCCAACCTTCTCCAACACCGCTTCAAAAAGGTGAAATACTACAGCCACTACATCAGACTGGTCAACATCATGAAATATACTCTGAGATACAGCTACTCCAAGATATTCCTCGATTCAGAGCTGCGCAAACAGATTGCTACATGGGTTGAAGACTATGAAAGGTATGCCCTAGACAACACATACTCGTGTTATCCTAGCTAATATTTTGTGAAGGTACTACTACCAGTTTGATGGCGAGCGACTTGCCATCTGTACACTACCCATACATGGTCTTCTCCATCTCATTGATGGCTTTCTATTCTGTGGACCGGGCTGGACAACCTGGACATTCTACATGGAGCGCTTCTGCGGTTATTTGAAGGATGCCTTGAGGTCAAGAAGCCAACCATGGAGTAATCTGAACAACCGCATCCTACAGCTAGCTTATCTCAACAAGCTTGCAATTCTCTATACTATTGATGATGATGACATTGCAGGAGTTGATAGAGGATTAATACTTTCAAAAGGGGAACATATCTATCCTAACTGTGAGTTGTCGATCAATCAACAACTTGGACTGCAACTGATGTAATAATCAGATCCATACAGTATTCTTCGTCCACCGCGTCTGTCTGCATTCCCCCTCGACCCTTCCAGTGAGCTGCACAAGAAGATTGCACAGTATTTTCTTGAGGTGGTTGATTTTCACCGAGAGAAGAGAATTACTCTTGCACAGATACGTTCCAAGCTTCCAAACATTGTTACACGCTGGGGAAAAGTGCGAATTGCCGAGAGTAGTGTTGCAATACGCTCAGCTGTCGCATCTCAAACAGGAGTTGGGAGGCAGAGGGACTCGTCCTATGTCAGAGTATGTGGTGTCATTCAGATCAAGTCATGCTTGTCTGACTCATTGCATAAACTCTCATTAGTATGTGTTATCAGTTCGCAGCAACAAGAGGGTGCGAGGTCAAAGGCAGGAGCCACCTACAGTCCTGCAAGTGTTTTATGGCCGACTCATGGCGATTTATGCCTGCCAGCTATCCAACGATAATGTCTGGGGGGAAATGGCAGGCACGACCAGGTTACTTGCATCTATGGAGATGTGTCACACTGGTGGGAAGGATGCCAGAAAGGAAGTCACAGAATACGACCGTACTTCCGGCCCAAATATCACAGATCTCCAGACAATTGAAGGCATTGTTGGGAGAGTTCACACAAGGGGAAGATGGGCCATAATAGAGAAGTCAAGAGACGAGGCACAAACTGTCTTTCTGGACACTGAAGTTGCAGAGATGACCAGGGTTGTGGAGGAGGATGACTCTGATTCAGACTAGCACCATGAGTATCTATAGTATCGCTGTGTAAATACAACTAGCTGGTTGACGCGGGCGGTGGCTGTGGCACAACCCGCGCGGCCGCAAACGAGTGGGATCCGGTGTAGTATAGCAAAAGACTGTAGATACACTCAGGACTGCGTGCGTTATATAAAGGTTTCGGCATGTCTTGGCGATACCAGATAATCATATCGAGCTTATCACTGCACTCAGATCATTCAAAGGGCTGTTTGTAAATTCTATCGAGTCACTACCTCTTAGTTATAAGCTAAAAGAGCATATAAGAACCGTGGGAATTGTGCCACTGAACCTCGGCACACCTCTGTCAGGCTTATCTTCATAGCACCGTACAATGTTGTTGCATTTAAGGCTTTCAAACCCAGTTAGCAGGTACTCTATGCAAATTTCATAACTTGACAAACTAGACACAGTGCTCAGCGGCTATCCAAACACACTGATGTCCTGCACCAGCGCATTTCGCAAAGTTGTCATATCACGTGACCTCACTTCAATGCATTGCGACTTGGTCAATTGACCTCGTTCCGACTTTCACCATTCACCACGGCCAGTCTGTTTCAGGAATTCGTCTTCATTATTCATAGTAAGAGATTAAGTCTATTATATGCTATATGATGACCCCAGAGAAATCTCAGGTGCACCGAAGATACACGATGAACCAGGAGACGAAGATTCCCAAGCCGCCAGGTTTTCCTGGAAGAGATTTCTCAATCCGAAAGGCTATGAGAATCGGCACCACGCAGCAGCAGAACAACATGTACAATGACTTCCGGGTAAGCTTTTTTGATGCATATATGCACCGGTACTCGGCACCGCATGCATATATGCATGATATATGCATCATACTCAAAGTATGTGTTGGTAGGCCCGCATGCGAAAAGCGATATCAACCCATCTCGACACCGACAAGCCCTTTTCTTTACAAGAACGAGGCAATCTTATGCTGGTTGAAGCATATGTAAGGCTAGATCACTTCGTCTTCAGTAGACTCATACTCTATGGTAGATCAAAAAAACGGATCCGACTTTACTCGCCAAGTACGAGAAGGCTTGGGTTATCGACGCTATCATGAAGACTGTACTCGCAAACAGCAGTCAACGCACCCGAAACCGTGACCGCCGTACAGCACTCCAATCCGACCCCAAAGGGACTTCGTCGAGCACAGACACCAACGACAATCCAACGGCTGCCGACTCGCCATCGAACAGCTCACCAAGCCCGCCTCAAATCAACAGAGCAAGGAAACAAGTACGTAGTATGAATATATGTACCATACCGATTTGCCAACTGGCCTCTAATCTTACCGATTCCTAGGTGCGCCCATCGAAGCAGCGTGTAGCTCCGCAGAGCTCGTCTCGAAAGCCAGGTTTTTTCCGTGACTCATTCACGAGCTCTTTGTCATGCAGCTGATTCCTGTGATAACATAGATATCGCAGGCAGGCCTTGCGCTCTGTCTTATGTAGGCTGTTCCGACATCGCCCCATCTCCGCTGTCACCGGCTCTGAAGTTCCTGTACTCGACTCTCGACACGATTCGTGCTGATGAAACTGAAGCTGAAGACAGTAATGACGTTGTCGCGACGGAAGTTTGTGTGATGTGTGTGGCTGTGTCGAAGAGGCGAGGGGAATTCTTGAGGTGATAGGAGTGTACCACCGATTCTTCAGCTTCTTCTTGCAGAAACTTCCCTGAGGTCCCGGGCTATCTAAGTCGGGGATTGCTCAGTTGGCCGTCGGTTATTGAACCTGACTTGAATTTGATGAGACAAGCTTTGTGAGCTCGTCGGTGATACCTAAAGAGGTAATAAGACGGTTAGCCTGTATGGGAGGCTTGAGGGGTCTTGTGTTGATGTGTTGTACGACACGCCGTGCGTCGAAGTTCCTAGAGAAATAGAGAGAGGGATCAGTTGTTCCTTG